TCTGGATGAAAAAAAACAGCCTAATTAAAGCGGTTTCAGCTACGAATACTGTAAAAATAATCCTTTCAGTCGTCCCTGAATAATGTCGGAGATGGTCAGGGATCAATCTTTAAAGATCTGACAGTTGTTATTACAGTCATCCTTATATGTCCAGATATTTTCGCTCACTTCTTAAAAATAAGGTTTTTGGGGTTTTTTTTAGAAACTGCAATTGAATGCATCCTGTAAACGTAGCCTTTTCTTTTTGCCCTGTAGACAGACGGTTCAAGTAAAATACTGAATAAAAAGCTGGTTGTTTTTTCTTGTTACATGATGAAAACGTCTACGTACTTTATTACGATTGTAAGTGGACACAGTATTTTGCCTCGTCCACTATAGACAGGACTACATTGTTGTGTTAAATGTCCTTTTCCTTACATTTAAATTCAAACGTTTGATTTGGACTCTGACGTTAGTTTTTCTTTTTCAGTTTGTTTGGTAGACCTTTTAAAAAGTCTATTGTTGTTTCTTCTCTGCAGTGGTTTTCTACACAGACTCTTTCAACTCCGTGATCCTCCCTTTCACCCCAGCTCTGGACCCTAGTTTTGAAAACTCTGTATATCCTTCTGCTGCTCTGTGACATTGCACTTTTTTTTGCTTTATGTCTAATTAGGTTTTGTGTTTTTGCCCTGATGCTGGACCAAAAAGTCAAGCTTTGTTTTCTGGTACATTCATTTCTAGGCAGATTTGTTCCCATCAGTATGAGCCTGGAAACAAACACACTCTAAATATTTATAATTGTAGTGCTCACTCTGTCCTCTGTGGCTTCCAGTGCTTCAGTTAAAATAATAATAATAATAATCTTCATTATTTATTACAAATCACAAATTCCAACTGTAGAATGCTTTTACTCCTAACTATTTGAAATCTTTAACATAAGAAAGGAAGTCCAAACGTTTAAAGAAAACCATCCTTCTTTTCTTCTTCATTTAAGTCTGGAACCTTGGAGAATTCTGGGGGAAGTATTGCACCGTGGTCATAATCTGCTTCTTTGCCTCGTCTTAGGACGGAAAGCCATTTCTTTTTTCTTTTCAAATGTTTCTTTTTTTTTTCGTCTTAGGACGGAAAGCCATTTCTTTTCAAATGTTTCTTTTTTTTTTTGTCACAATTTGGGAAAGAAAAAAGAACCTGATGAAGCCAGATCAGAGTTCCCCATCTAAACGTACATGTGGTAGGCTTCTCTGTCTTTTTTTTTTTTTCCTCTGAGTGTGTTGGTTGGTGCTTTTTCATGGTGGCGCTGGAACTTGCCTCTGTGTTTTGGCTGGTAGTAGTCTTTAGCGTTCCAAAAAACTCCTTCACAATCGCTGGCAGTAACCGACACTGACATTCAGGAAAACAAAAAACTGATTTTTCCTCCTCAGACTCTGTCGCCGTCACCTTTTGAACTGACCTTTCTGCTGGTTCACGGTTTCTTGTTGAACCCTGATACCATTTTTATTATTATTATTGGGTTTTCAGTTTGATGACAACAACAATAACAAAGGGGAGAAAAAAGACACCAGCAACTAGCAGTGAGTGCTGCAATAAAGAAACATCTAGGTCTAAGAAGCACCAGCGTCAGAGTCAGACTGACTGTAGGGAGGGTTGGCAGGTTAATGAGTCCGTTTGTGAACACACCAAAGTGTGTAATGTTTAAATTCAGGGGTTTTTTTTATTTCAGTTGTGGAAATGTTACACCAAGTCTTCTAAAATGGTTTCCAGGCTGGATTATTTTGGATCCACAGAACTCAAAAGCCTCCCTGTGGAGTCGAATGTAATTACAACAAAAATGTGCAATTTAAACTGTGGAATTGTTGAACGAATCCTGGAAGTTTGACTCTGAGGAAAACAACTTCCCGGCTCAACATTCTCCAAATTCCAGATCCAAACAGGTGTGACGGCATCACTTTTAACATGCGGGATGAGAGAGGCTGTGGTACACACACCTTCTTTCTCTCTCCTTCTCTCTCTTCCTCTCGCTCCCCCTCTCTCTCTGTCTCTCTCCCTCTCTCTCTCTCTGCATGTGTTCTCGTCAGACATTCTTAATCCTACGTGCGTTCTTACGGGTCATGAAGAGTCAATGAGACGTGTAGCATGACTCGAATCCGCCGAGATTTGATGACGTGGGCTGAAGCAGAATAAACGCAGATGATGAACGGAGGCGCCAGTGCGCAGCTCCAACACTGTAATCTGACAGTCTCCTCAGCAGCATCACTGAAGGTCCGACCAGGCGACAAACACTTCTCTGAAAACACTCTGGATTTGATTTTCACGGATTTTTTAACATAATGTATGAAACTTTTTTATTATTATTATTTCAGAAAAGGACCTCATACCTGCAGAGCTGAAATCATCTGCCGAAAGTTGCATTTAAGACCATTTTCGCCCTAAATCATTGTCTTAATGGAAGTGAGTTTATTTTAAATTTTTGGATTTGATTTTTTTCCCCCTATCTAAACTTTGTTGATGTCTTTATAGCACTTCGGAAGTGTTTGGTTAATTTCACAGGAGTATATTAACTGGACACATTTACTGTAGTACTGTTTGGAGTCTGTGACCAGGGTCGGGATGCTGACTCTAGCGCTGGGTCTGCTCCTCCTGCTCAGTGGACACTCCGTGCGGACGGAGGATGCCACAGGTAGCCGCTTCGTCTGTAACGCTCTCCCCCCGGGTGCCGAGCCAGGCTGCGGCTATTTTGCAACGGGAAACCGCGTCCAGAGCAGCAGCCCCGTGGAGGACGAGCTGCGGAACACGATCCTCCAGCTCCGGGAGACCATCCTCCAGCAGAAGGAGACCATCGTGAGCCAGCAGGGAACCATCAAAGAGCTCAACTCCAAGCTGGCGCGCTGCGAGTCAGCGGCGGCAGCTGCTGCTGAAGTGTCGCCTCAGGGCAAGAGCCGGGGTCAGAGCTCCAGACGGAAGGAGCTGGGCAAGAACACGATGGGCGACCTGCCCCGGGACCCCGGTGAGACCATAGATCAGCTCGGAAAGACCATGCAGAGTCTCAAGGGTCGGCTGGAGAACTTGGAAGTAAGACGGCACACACACACACACACACGCATACATGCAGCTCGTGCGTAAAGGCTCCAGCAGACCCCAGCCCCCCTCCCCACCCACCGTTACTTTCAGCCCAGGCAAAGAAATGTTAGCCATGATCAGCAGCGACATTTTAAAACAGTGTTTCAGCCTCAGTATTTCACTCAGCGCCACCGACCATTTCCCCAGTAATATATCTTAAAATGAAGCACGGCTCTGCAGGAGCGCACAGGGGAAATCATGGGGTCATGCAGTAAATGTGTCACATCAGTCTCTCTTCAACCATTAAAAAATATGGCTGCACTTGGTTGTGGGTTCCAGAGATCGTGGGTCTGGAAGTTAGAAACAAGGGGGTCTTTGTCAAAGGTGTAATCATGTGCTGCAGAGATTTGCAAAAGCATCTGAATTATTTATGAGTAGTGCGTGCACGTGTGTGTGTGCGTGTTGCACGACAGATCCACGTTCTTGATGCTGTCATGTGACTAATTAAGGGAGAGTCTGATGAAAGTCTTTCCTGCAGATTTCAAATGCACCAGAGCTTTTTGGATGTTTTTAGTGAAAGTCCAGAGCTTAATGAATTAGAGGATGATAATCCTGTTGTTGACCTGAGAGCTCTGCATTCAGCCGGCAGAGTCAGAGTCCTGACTCGGGCTGTGTTAGTGTCAAAGATCCAATCCAACTGGTTCTGAGGTCACACTGTGAAGTCACACACACAGAGATGCATGGGACCTGGACAGTCTTTCGTTCATCTCTCTCTCCCTCTCCTGACAACCAAACCACAACACTCCTGTTTGTATTCAAGGTTATTTTTATATACATTATGCTGCATTGCTCATTTCACCTCCTTTATTTCCTCCCACCTGCAGTTTTTCCCCCTTTATCCTTGATGGGAATTGTTAATGCTGTGATCAAATCTAGCCTAGCGTATATTCCACTGCAGCTGCACAGGGCACATAGAAAATTGCATTGTAAGTACATATGCATTGATCTGTGCCTGCTTAAGCCTAATGACTATCACTGCCTCCGATGGTGAACAGCTCCCCAGAGGAGGACCTGTCTCACTGATCACAGCCGTCTGCATATGTCAACACTGACACTCAGGACCTCGCAGTCGTTGGCTTTTGCTTTAGAGAGCAGATTATTTCAATTATATACATACACATACATACAATATAAATTCAAATATATGTATGTATGTATGTAAATATCAGTACTATGTTCAGAAAAGGTGCTCATATACTTTTATTTAACAAGAAAATGGATAAAAGTGTATCGACATTGTGTTCAACTCTGTGGTGGCTCAGTGGCTAAGGAAGTAGACTTGGTTCTGCAAGGTCGCAGATTTGAATTCAGTGGCTCCCGAGCTTCCACTGAGCATGGCTGGAGCTGCCCTCCCCCCCCCCCCCCCCCCCATATCAGTACTACTTTAAAAATGATTGTTGCCGGATATATATATATATATATGTATTTATTTATATGTATGTATGTATGTATGTATTTGAAAGTTTGGAGATTTGTCTAAAAGATAAGGCTGAAATCAGTCATCTATATCAAATCTATGTTTTATTAGAACTGGATGAGATTAAAGGTGTGTTACGTAATGTTTTAGAGGTTTTGTACTTTGAACATGTCTCTACTGAAAACAGTCTCTGCCATACAATGCTGTGTGTTAATACAGCAAAAACACAGACAACAGCATCAGCAACATAGATTTCTCCATCCAAACTGCTGATTGTATTGGTTTTCAGATTTTTTTTGTCTGTTTTTTCATCCATTCAGCTTTTTTTACAACCATCTCACTTTTCTATAGTGAGTTGTTGCTGTGGTGTTCGCTCCTTGCATCTGTCAGTCTAAGCATAAAAGGAACCAGTGTTTGTGTGTTGCAGCGCGACCCAAGCTCTAAACAAAGCTTTGCTGCAAAATGGCAATGGTATAAATAAATAAAAAACTACAACGTCTGAACTGTTCTCACAAAGGGTCAAAAAGAGAGGATGGTTTATAGCTTGAAGTTTCCTCCGTTGGTCTGAGTCTCTACTTTTAAGTCTGTTTTGGCTAACTTTTAGCTGTCTGTATGTATTTACATAACTTTTACTTTGTTTTTATGCTTCTTCTGGTCATTTAGTTTTTTTTGTTTTTTCAAAATATGCTAGAGAAAGCAACTCCTTTACTGACAGATAAACCCTAGGGTTGAGCAAGCAACAATAAGAAGAAAAGATGTGATATTTGTGGCTTTAAAGTTCACCTATTCTGCCAAAAAGATTCAGATTTACTGGTGTCATTTACTGGTATTGTCCACCGTAGAGTACTGTAGCTTTTAGTCCAGTGTTTGTGTGTTGAAGTAAATGAGTCACTTCTTCCACTGGTACAGTTAGCTCGCCTGTTTAGCTTGCCTGATAATTGCAAAAAAAAGAAGAAATACAATAAACACAATGATGTTGTTGTATTAATTCCATCCAAACAGCAATTGGTCAGTCATTCAGTCAACTATCCATATATATATGCATCCATCTGTCCATTATTTTATCATTATTCCACCCACTTGCCAATGTTTCATGCCCTTTTCTACTGTCTCTTCCCTGTGTGACTCCCAGCAACAAAGTTTGCGTCTTCCCATCACAAACCTCTCAGCTGGAGGGGTCGCCGCGCTGACTCCTCTGCCACGAGACCTGCGGGAGCTCCTGCGGCAGCGTCTGGAAGTCCTGGAGACTCAGCTCCTTCGTAAGGTGGCTGAGCTGGAGGAGGAGAAGAGCCAGCTCTACAATGAAACGGCGGCCCACCGCCAACGCACAGAAAGCGCTCTCAATTCCCTTCTGGAGAGGATCACCGAGCTGGAGAAAAGTAAGCCATATAAATGTGTGCTGTGAATGTAATGCCAGAGAGCCATATTTAGCACTAGCTGGTTAAAGCCTGGGCCTGTTTGTGACGATTCAAGTGCAACAACTTAACAGGATCAAATTTAGAGACTTGACTGGAACCAAAGTAGCTCCTGGTGGTAAAGCTTGGCTTCAACGTCAGCAGTGAACACTTAAATCAAGTCCACACTCGTGGTTATCACTTCAAACGTATATGATAAGAAAAGAAAATCACCTCCAACACTCAGTGTCTTTTCCATGGTTACCAAGGTTCATGTAAATCAGTGAGTGGCTGTTTTTAGCCACACTTAACAAACATGCAGTCGACGCACAATAACAGAACCAACTATATGTTACCATAACTAGGAATCAATATCTGCCTTCCTGTGGCTTTTTAAGGCCATGATTGTGGTTTCAGATATGTTGAATCCAATCCATGACAACAGGCCGGTGTTTGTGTCCTTCCACTTGAGACACATATTTTATTTACTTTCTCTCTTTTTGTGTTTCGTACTGAGCTACGGGGGAAGTCTGGCTTTATTGGTTCTTTGTAGAGGACCCCTGGAGCCAGTATCAGCCTGTGTTATAAACCTCACTGTCACGGCTGCAGCATACACCCAGAGAAATAATGGATTACAGATGAATTGTGGCTCTTCCTCATAAAAATATGCAGCAAGTGTCCTGGGTGAAAATCCCCTTTGTCTTGTTTTCTTTTCCTTCTTCTGTTAAACTTATGGCGACCTTTCTGCACCTGGATCACGTATTGTTGTTTACTCACTTTCTTTGTACTTTTCTGTCCTTTTTTTTAGTCTTTGAGGCTCTTAATCTGACCAGATATAAAACAAGAAACTTTTATCTAAAAACAGTACAAAGTAGGGCAAATTTAACGTGTCACAACTGCCCTAAGACGGGATTGAAATGTCACTATTTGTTCACTAGGTATACACACAAGATTACAGCAAGTAGTGAAAGGTTAGCCAACCTAAATTAGCATTAGCTAACAAATACAAGACACATTTCATTCTTGTATCTGAAATAAAATAGCTTAGCTAGGGTAGCTAACAAATACAAGACACATTTCAGTCTTGTATCTGTATCTGAAATAAAATAGCTTAGCTAGCAGTGAGAGACATCCAGAAGCTAAATCATCCTGGAAATGAACCAAACTTTAACAAAAAAGTCTGGCAAAAATAACTAAGACTTGGCAGATAATTGGATTTGAAATGAACAAATAGACTGCAAAGAAAAGTCAGAAATAATGCGCACAAATACAAGAAAATAAATAACATTTGTCAAGAAATGGCACAACGACAGAAAAAATATATTAGACAAAGAGATCAAGGACTAAAACTGAATGCTAAAAGTGCTAACAAAAAATTAAATCAAAGCAAAATCAGCAAGTGTAGCACTAACAATATGATCATCTTATGTTTGCAAAAAGGCTTTATAAACAATGTTAACATAAAGAATTGCTTTGTCAAGCTGAAAGAAAATATAATAATAAAATGCTAATGTTTTTTGTCTCTTTAGTTTAATTGTTTGCAGTTCGCACAAAACATATTTAATAAATAATTTTAAAACAAAAATCAGTCTACGGCTAGTGTTGCAATTGGTCCTGGTACGGTAAGTCTCTGCAAAGTTGAGTGACTATAATAAGTGTAAAAACATATAATTTTCCTGACAGCAGACAGCTCGAGTTTGTCAATAAGTCTCTGAATATTCATCTTCTCCTTCATCCGTGTCCTGCTGCTGCCGCTGCTCTCAGACTCTTGTCATATCACGTCGTCATTGATCAGATCAGGTCATAGAATCAAACCCTAACATTGTTTATCCTCATCAATCCACAGACAACAACGCCTTCAAGTCACCTGAGGACTTCAAGGTGTCCCTCCCGCTGCGAACCAACTACCTGTACGGCCGCATCAAGAAGAGCCTCCCGGAAATGTATGCCTTTACCATTTGTATGTGGCTGAAGTCCAGCGCCAGTCCTGGTATTGGAACGCCGTTCTCCTACGGTGTTCCTGGTCAGGCCAACGAGATCGTCCTGATAGAGTGGGGGAACAATCCCATCGAGCTCCTGGTGAATGACAAGGTGCGTGGATTCATTCACTAACACTGATATTATCGCTCTAGCCGTGTACTCTTGAAGTCAGTAGTTTCTTTGCCTGGCAACAGCGCTGGGATGTAATCATGGCAGCAGATCAGCTTTGATTCTAGTTCAACACAAAGAATGCATGAATTTCCTCTTGCAGATTTTCATCTGCTCCATGCTGCAGATGCAGCGCCCTGTAAATTCAACATATATTAATGTGAGTGTCATATTAACACAGCTGAGATGAGATGTGCTGACCACCGACAGGGAATATTCTAATTTGCACCTTATAAACATTTAATGGCATCACTGACCTACATTCCGCACACATCCAAGAATGAGAGAAATTCATCAGAGCAGTGCTGCTGCCATGTGCTCATGTGAAGGCCTGCTCTTCCAGTCTGTGCTTCCTGCAGACCCTGCCGTGTTCCTGCACAGTCCCGCTGCTCCCCAGAGGTTCACTCAGCCTGGGGAATTCCAATTAAATCCATAGACAACAAAGTCGTGAAGATGCAGATGAATATTTAATGATATTCACATTTAAATGGCAAGGAACTGTTTTCTGTTTTGTTTTGGGTTTTTTTCATGTCAACGTAAGCCCAAAGGTATACCAGAGCAACACATGTACCTTTTTGTTTTTCCTGACGCCACAGAGCAGCAGCAGCAGTGTAATACAGTAGGATTACACAGGGTTGTCGCGAGGAAACATTTCTACCGACGTCTTTGTTTTTCTTTAAATCCCACCATCTTGTTTACATCCATCGCAATATTGGCAGCGTCAGGTGTCTTCATAGAGCTTTCTCCACCATGCATTAAACATGTGTGGAAGACAGACAGATGAGACGGAGATGGTGAGATGACTGTATGAGGGGAGGGGAGAAGAAACAGGAGGTAGGTTTGAGAGCAGAGCTGCAGAGGTGAGAGAAGGCTGCAGGTTGTGGGGTTGAAAGATCAGACGCTGCCTGTGTAAAAAAGGAAGGAAAGAAAGACTGAGAGAAGAATCCCTCGGATCAAGATGGAAGAAAGTGAGACAAGGCCGCTCAGAGTGAGCAGCATCACATCCATGTTCGCAGTAATAACAGGGTCCGCTGGGGCCCATAGTTTACACTGTTCATTTGGCTGCATACTGAAAAGGGAGCTGCCTCAACAATACCATCAAACTGCAGCGTTGCCTGTTTTTTTATTATCATTATTATTAATAATAATTTGTTGGGAACCAAGCAGCACAAGATTTTTGGAGCCATAAACCAACCTCCTAATCAGGGCCCTGTGTCGCTTCATTAAGGAACTCTATTAATAATCTCCATTCATTACTTTCTACTTAAAGTCATTCAAACAAAGGCTTCTGCTTCTAATGGTGTTTTTAAATTATTTAGTTAAATGCAGGTATGTAAACAACCTGTTTTAGGGAGATTTTCATTGTTTTATTTTGTCTATAGAAACAATAACATTTTACAAATCTCAAAATCTCATCCCCAAATTTTTACCCCACTTTACCTGTCCTGTCGTGTTCCTGTTCTCTACACCAGACATTTTTTAAAATGCCACGGCCGGACATGCACAGACACCAATAAGAGCATTCATTTCAGGCACCAGACGGGACAGATTTGTCATAAATCTGGGCTTAGTGGCTCCAAGAACAGAGTTGCCCTCCTGCAATTCAAACATCCACGTTGCTCCACAGCCGTCGCCCTTTTCAAGTGTTGTACTGAACATGGAATGGTTTTACATGCTCTTATCAAATCATCTGAGTCACATATTTCTACTTTTGTTCAATTAACCTATGAGTCAATAACGTGACTCATACGTGGAGATCGGGAAACCATCCACAGTTTCAGTTTTCATTTTGGAGTTTTACTGGGGGAAGCTTCAAATCCTGCAGCTCAGACAGACTTTGTTATAATTCTGCCAGCTTTTCCCCCTGCTGCAGTGATGCCACCTGGCAGCCTTTAGCAGGTCAATTGCTTTTGTAATTGCAAACACCTTGAACCTAATTGTGGGTGACTGTTGCCTTTCTTTCACATCCTTTGTCTGCTTATCTGAAGCTACATCACGTGTGTGTGTGTGTGTATCCTTCTATAGGCTCATTATATAAAAAGAAAGTCTCATGAGTTACATGTTCATTATTGTGTGTTACACGTGTGTGTGGTATTCTCAGAGGATGATGATGTCGTTGTTTCGTTGAAAGAAAAACACTTTTTTTTTCCTGCTCTAATTTATGAACAAAGCACAAAAGCCTGCGAGGGCACAGGTTTGTCGTTAGCTCGGCTTTGAAGGATGTTTTTGCCCCGATGTCACCTGGGTAATCTACGTTTTCTAAGTCAACCTAATTCACCCTGAGGATCTGACTCTTCACTTGAAGACGAGTCTTAAAAGTCTTTTCAACACATTTCCTCCTGTTGTCTTCACTTCAGTGCAGTTCATCTGTCCATCATCATCCTTCCATCCTGTATCTCTGACGTTTGTCTCTGTGTCACTCACCCTTTTGCCCTCACCACCCAAACAGGTGGCCCAGCTGCCCCTGTCCCTGAGTGACGGACGCTGGCATCACATCTGCATCACCTGGACGACCAGAGACGGTTTCTGGGAGGCGTACCAAGACGGCGAGCGTCTGGGCACCGGTGACAACCTGGCCCCCTGGCACCCAATTAAACCTGGTGGGGTAATCATCCTGGGCCAGGAGCAGGTGAGAGCAGGAAAGAAGCTTAGGAGGATGAGAACAGGTGTGTGTGTGTGTGTGTGCATTCGTGTGTGTGTGTGTGTGTGTTCTCCCCTGAGCTTCGAGCCGCAGGCACAGAGCAGGGGAGCAGGAGAGAGGAGGCAGAGACTCTTCTCACGCTACGGTGGCTTTTTCAGTATTACCTCATTCAGTCTACCTTTAAACTGCACCTTTAGGCTCTGGGGAGTTGCGTTAGCTGGTTATCCTGCCGGTTAGCTTCCTGACAGCTCCATATGTGCTAAAAAATGTGCAGTGAAGTGAGAGTCACAAACTTGTACCGGATATGTTTAAAGTCCATGTTTCTGACACTCGAGACCAGATTACTTCAAGCTGGACTGGTGTGTTCTGCCTGAAAACATACATTAGGAGGACATAATGTTTTATATTGTTTTATTATTTATTATAAAAATATAAAAATACAAATACATTTTTTAAATCAAAACAGTTAAGGTTAAATGGGAATCAATCATTTAAAATGTCATATCTTATTGTTTTCAAAGTATTTTATACTTTGTCTTCTACTTAATAATAATTTTATATGTTCACACATTTTGACCAGATACATTTTACACATTTGATTAGAGGTGTCTCCTGCTTGCTGAAACCATTAGAGATTACATTTCTACTTTACTTTTTGGAAAAAATAAAATACAAATAAACAGGAAATTCAAGCCTAAAGTGAACACAGAGCACATCAGAGAGACTGCAGCACCTCCTGATGTTTAAAAGTGACATTAAACTGAGAGATATGCTGCGTCACTTGGAGGAAAATCAAACAGCATTGAGTCTTTTTAATCGAACTTTGTTTACACTTCTTCCAAAAGTCAACTTCATCCTCATTTATCTCCTGTTCCCTCGCAAAGGACATCGTCGGAGGCCGGTTTGATGCCACGCAGGCCTTTGTGGGTGAACTCAGCCAGTTCAACATGTGGGACCGGGTACTGCGCCCCGTGGACATCGCAGGTCTGGCCAACTGCTCAGCCTACATGCCCGGCAACGTGGTTCCGTGGATTGATGCGAACGTGGAAGTGTTTGGTGGAGCGAGCAAAGCTGCCCTGGAGATCTGCGAAGATCGTGCGTTTGATTCCTAAAGGATGTAATGTCAAGAGCTAAGTATTCTGACTGTTTTCTGCCAAACCCCAAAGGAAAAAGTCTCGTTATGTTGTACGTGTTTTTTTTTAAGGCTCACGTGTTAATTTGTTGACCCGGATTTACCAGTGAAGACCCTGCAGGACGTGTGTAAAGATTTGCCATTCCATCACTCTGTTTTTTTCTTTCCCTCCTCAGTAGATCATCTTTCATGTGAACCCTCTCTGAAAGGAGATCATTTTTAGCTGCAACCCCAACACTGTGCTAACGCTGCACTGTATCTGTAGTGAATGTGAACTCAAACAGACTTTGATGCGCCGTGGAACGGCACTCCTGACGAACCACTGCTGCACGCTGTGAGCTTCCTCCTTGTTTGAAGCTCAGTTAAATAAGACAGACGTCCATGAGTTCAGAGCAGCCAGGAGAAACCAGCCAGGGTTTGTTTTCAAGCACCCAAAAAAATTGCTGATTGTCCGACTCGTGTGCAGCTCAGAAGTGACACTGCATGCGTTCTGTCAATACACAGAGAGTGTGTGGTCTGTCCAAACATGCCAAAACAGCGTCAGGGGAGAGTGCGTGACCGTGTGTCCGTGTGTGCATGTCTGTGTGCATATGACCCGTCCTGCCTGTGAAAAGAAGATCAGAGATGATGAGGCGGGGAGGACGTTTTCATTCTTGTGAATCTATGTTTAATACCTCTCTCCCCTGGAGCAGCTGCCATGTCCCTAACAGCTTTATGGATGGCTTGGCTCTGCCCAGGTTAACAGCAGTGTCGGACAGCTGCCCACTGTTGGCACATCGACAGTGCTGTGGACATTAGCAAAGGGGCCCAGTGAGGACAGGGACTAGTTTTGACCTTCAAGGACAATCCTTAATTCCTCATCTGCGTAGTGATGAATACGTCTGGCTCCGGTCCAAACCTGGTTCTTTAAAAAAAAAAACAAAGCCCTCTGTCAGAGGTAGGCAGAGTGGAGCAGGAACCTGTGGGCATTATGAATGTCTGTGAAATGCACTTTGATGTCATTTAGCTCTAAAAGAATCATGAATACGATATATTTTTAAAGAAATAGAAAAATCAAGTCGGTCTGACACAGTGTGGTGAAGAAAAATGACACGTTTGCAGCTTCGGTTTCGTCAGTCCTCAATGTTGCTGTGATGGTTGCTTTTCTGTTTTGTTTTTGTTTACTGTGTAAAATAGTGAAAACTAAGCCTGGTGATAAAGTTCCATGATGTAGAAGAGAAAACAAGGATGTGAATCCTGTTGTCACCTCCAGAGTTTTATTCTGTGGACTTTACTAATGGGGTTAAAAAAAGAGTACTTAAAGAGGTTCTATTTACTTTAAAAAAAATACACACAGCACCCAGCCAGCATGCCTGTGTGGACCCTGAATATGTTCAAGTACAGACAGAGAGTGGATTTAAGCAGCACCGATAGAGTATGTGGGTCAGATTTGGTTTTACCAACAGAAATGCTGTTTCCTTCAAACCGATGTGAGAGCGGGTATTTTTATTTGTGTACACACACAATACCAAGTGCCAATATGGATACTTCTTCATCATGGGTTTCAATAAATGTGAAAATAACTGGAAGAAGATGTTATTTCACTTTAACAGCTGTGTGTTAACTAGTGATGACATCCCAGTGGTGACACCCAGGGTCACTGCTGGCTGGGTGATGTGTTACTGGACAGCAAAGAATGTTACGTTAAAAAAACAGAGTGGCTCACTTTAATATGTTACCAACATGTTGTAAATGTTGTCATGTGAAGTCAGAGGGTTTTGTTTTTTGTTTCTTTTTTTTTTTTTCTGGCCCGGGGTTTTTGTCCATTCAGAGCAACAAACTATGTTCAAATGTAGCAGAAGTAGTTAAAAAAAACCCAGAAGCTTCGTAACAACGGTGAATGGCCTTTTGTGAGAACCACGTGTGCTTTCGCTTGTTCCAGTTTGAGTATCTTGTCTGTACAGACGCTGAGAGAAACGCCATGAAAACAAAAATGCATTTGAACGTTCTCTTCGTCCACTAGGGTGCATTTTTTTTCCACTTCCTGCCATGGGACTGGAGAGTGGATGTGTGTGTGTGTGTGTGTCGACAATTAAATTTTCTACGCACTGCTTCAGTGATGAATCTGGAGTGGAACCGTGCTGAGGTCACACACATGTCTGCACTTCATCCTTGACCTTTAATGAGGATTAAAGTTCTCTATTTTACTGCACCCTCCTTGTCACGTTGATTCTTACGGTGTTTGTCCTGGTGGTTCTCACATCCCCTGATGTTCTCAGTCAGCTGATGTACAGCCAATGATGGTGGAGGACTGTGTTGTCCAGTCTGACTTTCACTGACATATGAAACTGTCATTGCTGTCAGATTAGGTGAGCTGATGTTAGCTGTCACTGACAAAGCTGTGTTTGGTTGGTTACATTCTGTTGGTAGTTGACCGGTGTGCTCGTCCAGTCAACTACCAAACTGTATTAATATAGAAAATTGTGATATGATTATTTTTGTTATAATTGATTTTTTTTTTTTTTTTGATTTTTTTTTTTTTTATGCATTGGTCTGTGAAAACCCTTGATCTGAAGTTAAAGCTAACTTTTATCTTTTAAAACTACTGTTCATATAAAAACCCAGTTTTGGGTTTGAGCCAAATATGTTGTGGTGAAAACAAAGGTCTAAGATGACTTCAAATACAGAGCAGAAAACTGTTGATTCTCACAGAGCAGTTGAAGGATTTACAAAGGCAAGAACTAAGAATTATCCGGAACTTCAAAGTGCTTCACATGGCACAAAGCAGCAGTGGCAGAAACAAAGCCAACAAAACAAACACATTTGAAAAACAGTGAAAAAAAAACAATATTATGATTTAAGGTAGTCTGTAATTAAAGTGTCAAAAAAGACTGGACTGTGAGAAACAAACCACAAAGGAAAGACATTAGATAAAAAGCCATTGGTTGGAGAGGAGAGGTGGAGGCACGTAACTCAAATAATAATTCATAAACCAGGAACTGTTTGTCTATTTGCTAATGTGCCAAAAAAGAAAAGAAAAAAAAGGTTAGTTTGCTTGGTTGTCTATGGCAGTGGACTTAGATCCGGAAGGTTTCAGGTTTGAGTCCACCAGCTGCCAAGTTATCACTGAGGTGCTCTGAGCAAGGCACTGTCCCCATTGCCTCCTGCTGACTTTGGTGATGGGTTGAAAGCAGAGGTCACAGTTGGTTGTGTGCAGCGGTGTGTCACAATGACAAATAATTCACTTTCCTTATAACGTTATTCTCATAAAGTTGTAACTCTTTGCTTTTTTTTTTATCTTAAATGAATCCTCATACATTTACAGCATTAGAATTTTAATTCTTTTTACCTCTATGTGACCCTGATCCTGTGATGTGTTTCCTCACACGCTGTGTTCAAACCAGCAGCAGGTTATTACACACAGGAAAAAAGGACACGGTTTGATTGAGGGCATCTGTCTGTCTATGACGGGCTGTGACAGGAGCCTAATCTGTCATGTTTGTGCTGCGGCTTATGATAAACTGATTACTGCTGTCAGATCCTTCCTCCTGCTTTAATTGCGGACACTCTCCCGTCGGTTTGTGGGAGACAAATTATCTTTCGGGAGGCGTCGTGTGGCACTAATGAAATCTAACTAAGAGGCGACTGGAAGTGAAAAACATGTTTGAATATTGCAGGTATCATCTGTCTCTCTGACATTGATGTGATTCAACAAGATAAACAAAGTGTGTCTGGCTTTGTCAGTGCATGTGGAGATGTGACAGGAAGCAACACTTTGCTGCTGTAGAGGCTCTGAAGAGATTTGTTCCCAGTTATTGTTTTTTCTCCCACTGTGGCAAAGTTTGAAAAGGGAGATTTCCCATGAGCAGATTCCTCCAGCGGCGGTCTCTGCAGCCGTTCCTGAGGTAATGATAACGCCTCAAAGAGAATACATCAGCTGTTCAGCTCCTCGCTTGTCCATATGTACATTACATCATGGATGGATGGAGTCACAGGGAAACGATATTCACTACATTTAAATAAAGCTTATATATATATATATATATATATATATATACAGTACATCGTTGGTCTAGTACGGTCAATACACATGTTGTAATTTATACATACTGGGAAAAAGATCCTCCGAGGAAAAAAAATTACCATCTCAATGTCCAACGTGTGGTTGTATGTATATATAAAATTATTTTCCCAGGAAATCTGCTTTAATTCCATTTGGATAAATACCGGGGGAGGGGTCTGCTCCTAGTCCTGCAGGAACCCCAAAGAATAAAAGACTGAAAAAAACACAAGTGTGAGAATGCAGTACAGAGATGTCCTTTGGCTTAGTGATTAAAACGTGATGGAGAGAGAAGCCTGTGCAGAAGGCGGGGATTTTTTTTTTTTTTTTCTCACTTAAAAACTGCTGTTTTCTTGGCTGTCACGGACTCTTAGTGATATCAACAAATCCCCTTCAGCCTGTATCAGTTTCTTTATAAAATTATGCATCAGAAATGTTATGTTCTGTTCGCTTCTTTGCGACTCTCTGACAGCTGTTTTTCAAATTAGGCACAGAGGAGTTAACCCGCCTTTCAGCCTCGATTTGTGCGAGAAAACACGTCGCCTGCACTGAATCAAGTACAATCAGTTTACCGTTAGTCATCTTCTGTAGGAGGAGAGACGTGTGGCATATACTAGATGGGTTTTTTTCTTACTTTTTACTTGGAATACTAAAAAATGCAATTTCTACAGAGGCAATAAACCTTAGATCTCAGACTAGATGGCATTTTTCACTGACCCACTTATTTCAATGTGTAATACCTACATTTAAATATCCAACAGCATCACACTCCAAAACAGTCCTGGGTCCTGGGTAAGTATGAGTAAGTATATGGATGGATGGATGGATGGATGGATGGGAGGTGGTTTAAGAAATCCTAAAATAAGTTTTTATTTCTTAAAGACTAAAATGCCAGAGCACTGACAGACAATCTTACATTTAAGTAAATTTAAGTCAATGGTTTTTGTTTTACTTTTGTTTTGTAATTCAAGTTTGAAATTAGCTGGAAGTTCTGGTCACGTTGCCTGTGTTAGAGATAAATGAAACTGTGTTTAACAAGATTCATTTTTTGTTCTTGATAAATTAAAGATAAGACTTTTTCTCCTCTTTTTTATGTCCTAAAAATTCCTTCTTTTGCAGCGCTGATTTAAGCTTCAATTGAATTACAAGAAAAAAACAAGTAAGTCTTGTATCAGGAGAAAACAAGTTGTATTTCTTCTTTCTAAATTGAACCCCATTATTGTCAAGTGGAGTGTGCATTAGAAAAACAATTTGAACAAAGTACAGCTAATGTTTTTTTGATAAACCTTTCAGGCTCAAATGGATTTGGAATGAACTCGTCAAACAACCTGTCGTGTTTGGACGTCAGCCTTTCTGTCCCAGACATCCAGACATTTTAGTATCGCAGAGGTAAGACTGTTGTACCTATTTAAAAACTTTTGTTCCCCCGATACAAGATCATTTTTGATGGAATTTTAAATCAGGTTTGCTTGTTTTTAGCAGGGCTGTTTTTGCACCATGTGAAATGTATTTACCTTTCAGGTAATGGGGCTTGTTATCAGACTATTATTTTTCACTTACTGTAGGAAGATAGATGACCGGTGTGGCATATGTCTGATTTACTGCTTTATGCCTATTGAGCTGAGGAGAGTCTAAAGGAAGTGTTTGTGGAAATGAGAATTAAAAAAATAAAAAAAAACCCTAGAAGTGATGCCGGGGGACAGGAGAGACAAATTAATCAGCTCAGGAGAGGAAACAGCTGCTTTATGACACTTTGTAATGCCACCTCCCTGAAGATCAAAGCGTCCGCCGATGCTAAATGAATACATTCATTCGAGCGCCGTTCTGTTCGCCATCGAACAGCATTTTCCAGAAGAGCAGGAAATCATGAATCTGACACTTCTTCATGCTGAGATTACAAAGCTGTGCCGAGTCACTCCTGGAATATTAAGTGTTTAACCTGAGCACAGTGAGTTCTAAATGCCTTGTCTGATCTTGTTGTGTGTTTCCAAGGAGGAGATGAGCTGTTCCTACAGGGACCGTTTACATCTATTCCAGGATTTTTCCTGCAGACGTAACTTTTTTAATAAATCTGAAAGACAGGCTGAGATATATAATTTTCTGCCTGCAAAGATGAGAGTCTAAATCTCTCTCGCTCAGCCTCTTAAATCACACACCTGTGTGGACTGCAAAATGAAGTCGTCGACTGTCTGTCCTCACGGGACGTAAATCTGTGATTGTGTTTAACTCCGGCTGCTCAGCTCTCTTTGACAAAACACAAATGTTCTTATTGGACAAATTAAACAGGGTGGCTGTAAAACCACCTGTGTGTGTATGTGTGTGAAGGCTAGGATTAGACTCCAGGGAATGCATTACTGCACTGTACTGTATGTCTATGTGGTGAAAGAGCAGTGTGTGTTAGTAAGCCCAGGTGGCGCTGCACTTTTGGGGACAGTGTTGTGGGAAAAATACTTTTCGTCTGGGGACATACTAAACCTCCAGGATTAGTATGATGTAGGTATGTGTAATGGCTAAAGTTAGCGTTAGCGGCTGTGGGTAACACTGTGTCTATATGGTGCCCACAAAACACAAACACCTGTTTGTGTGTGTGTACGCTGAATTTCATCACCATGTTTGATGGGAGATAATGTGCCAGATGCCTCGGCCTATAAAGTTCTGTCTTCTGCTAATGTGTCGACTGAACGTCCTCTAACTGTAAATGAAAAGACTGGAAACAGCCACAGTGGTAGTGGTTTTGGGTTTAAATCCCAGTTAGGATGACTTAATGAATCCATCCTTATATTGTCGTTCATGACCAGGTGTTACAGAAGGTATTTAACTGGAGAGGTGTTTGGACTTTGTAACTTTTTCTTTCCTAATTTACAGCCAGTTTTTTTTCTGTATATTTTTAGCTTGTTTTGTAATTTTTCCAGGCTATAAACTCAAACCCAAGATTCAAGTGGCATTTGTCGGGCTGCGCTGCACTTTTCTTCCCAGAAACCACTAAATCTCACTTTCTTAAAAGGGTGATGTGCCGGTGCCTGGAGGAGGCTGACAGGAGTTGGCTCTTAGAATGAAAAAAGTGTTACATTAAAATGAAATTAAGAGTCAGCCTTTTTATCTTGTGCTGTGTAGACATTGTTGTTATTGCCACAAGCTTCAAACAGGGATGTCAAAAGTCTCCCTTCTGCTGCAATTTAATTTGGATCACAAAATCCTTCTCTAAATATTATTATATTATATTATATTATTTAACCTTTGGCTAATTATCCTTTTTTAATTGTAGGCTTTTTTTAATCTTCTATAGGTTTGTCTGACACAACATGTGCATACTTTTGCTCTCAAAGGTAGACTTTGGCTAAGTGTTAGCTGTTATTGTCACATTTATTTCTCATTTCTCCCTACGTCTTAGCCAACCATTTGTAAATTAGCTCATTTCAAGGTACTTTTTCTATAATTCTTCAGAAACTTTATTTCGTGTTATCAAATCCAGCCTCTGAATCCACCTTATATTCTCCTGTGAGAGTGTATTTTCTTCCTACTGAGTTTCGTGTCATTGTGAAATGAAATGGAAAAAAGAAGTTGTTTGTTTTTGTATGTGGACCATGTTGAGCTGTCTTTCTGTCTATCGCCCAGGGTCAGCTGTAGGGTCAAGCTCTCTGACCTTCAGCTGATACCAGTACAAACCACAACAGCAGTGAACTACAAAAAGATTTTCTTTTGTACTGTAGTTAACAATATTTCAACCAGGGACTTTATAGATTTAAAATGTTTATTTTTATTATTAATAATAATAATAATAATAATAATAATAATGTAATTGAAACTGTTTCAGTCATAGGTTCTAATTTTTTTTACATGGACAGATTTCTTGAGCTCCTTCTCTTCCTAAATCAGAATTAAACACTGTCAGTCATTCCTTTAATATTTGATGTTGACTCCCAGTGTAGACTTCCATAGTCGGCCTGTAATAAACTAGACATGTGACCCTTCCAGATCCTGTTATCGCTCTGGAATCTAATCAGATGGTAGTGGCTCGCTCTTCCCCCCGAAGCAGTGAGGATAAGTGCATTATCCGGATCTTTCCACTGCTGCTAACAAACTCACCACCAGCCAACGTTTCCATCTCAGGAAATAAACCCGCTCCATTCAACCAATCCACAGAACTCAGACACACTCTCTCCCCCCAGTGTGATTAAGCCGTGCTCTCCACTGACATTAGCACATCATGTGATTTTTCATCAACAAAGGGATCTGTGGACGTAAATCCATTTTTATTCCTCTTTCAGTGTGTGTGTGTGTGTGTGTGTGTGTGTGTGTGTGTTTGGACATAAATCCACACACATTCTATTTATAGACCCCGTGTGGCTGCCTACAATTAATGAATATGAACTTCCTGTTCCCACTGGCTGGGTGTAAGCCCATCCTGCTCCAGATGAAACTACACACTGCTTTATTGCTGCTTAACTCAGACAGGAGGCTACAGGTTGGCCATGGCAGATGGTGGGATATGGCTAAGCATGCTCAGAGAATGGTTAAAAAAAGAAAACAATACTCTGACCCTCTGACACTGAGGCAGAGGCAGGGATCGTGAAGCATGAAGAATAACCATCTGTGTGCCTGAGAGGGCTGTGAGAGAAATCCATATGATATGATAAGTGCAAAAGAGCTGAGACTGACAAAGCTGCTGCTTAGATTAGATGTGACATGTTACCCATACACACACTCACACACACTCCCTGGCCACTTTATTAGGGCCATCCTGCCAGGAGAGTGTTAAAACCATTTTTTCTTATTTAGAATCACCTTTCATTTTTAGGAGTCTGTCTGTGTTCCCATATAAAATTACCTTTCATTTTTAGGAGTCTGTCTGTGTTTCTCATAAATATTTTCATCACGTGTTCTTCCACTTGCCTTAGAGCAAGAAGTCGACTGGTTCAGCGGTTTAAACCCCGATCCTTCTCTTTTGGGTTTTCATGTTCTCTCTAATGTGAACTCTGGTTTTTATCATGTGCTCTTAGAGCGTGGTTTTCTGCCACGGATAACTGGACAGTCTGGAAGAAAAATGAACATGATATAACTGGGCATCATCTGCAGATTTATCCCACAGTGTGATAAGAAATAAAACATATCCACCATCGACAGCCAGGACTGTGGATACTAGACTTCCACGATGCCCGCCGTGTGACCTTACCACCAAGAATGAAGACTTCTCACACCAGGAAATGTTTCCACAGAGTTCTACAGTCAACTGTGGGTGAGTACATGCAAACAGTGTTGCTATGTTCCTGTTGTTAGCCGACAGTCGTGGACGCCTGTCTTTTCCTGCGCTGCTTTAAGATTCACCATGCTGTGTTTAGAGATGCTCCTCTACATCTTCTAATGAGTGCTTATGTGAGTTAATGCTTCCTTTCTACTGCCTCAAACCAGTCTGGAAGTTCTGTTTTTTGCCCAGAGAACGGTTGCCATTTTCTGTGTACCACAGAGAGGAAAAATCCAAGTCATTCAACAGTTTTGGTGCCATCCCATCTGGTACAACACTGATGCCACTAGATTCAGATTCACAAAAATAATCTCTTTTTTAATATTTCCTATGCTCTGCTATTACTTTGAAAGGTCACCTTGACTATATCTACATGCCTACATAAACCCAGCATCTCCCCTGTGATTGGCTGATTACATCTGATTACATTGGCAGTATAAAAAGTGTGTATTTCTTTCTTTATTCAATATTATTTTATGAGAAAATTTAGTTGATCAAATGATTACAGAATTTGTTGTTGATGCAACTTTTTTTAATTAAAATTCACTGCAGATAGCAGATGTCACAGACAAGTAATCTGTAAGGTATTGGCAGAATTGAGCTGCTATTGATGTGCAGAGATGAGGAAGACTTTTTGAAGCTGGCACTGTTTCCTGCTCAGGAGCTTTTATTGTTCACCTGAGTTTCAGTGGACGTGATTGATTGCAACTCAAAGTTCAGGCTGACTTATTGTGCCAAAGGTCCCACCAGAGTTTCAAGGTTGTTCTGCGGGAAATTTTGCATAATTGATAGCAAGCTTGTCCCTGATAAGTCATTCTTTTTTAAGGCCAAAGACAGCTAAGGCCACCCTTTCTCCCTACTGATACCATTTTCACCTTTAAATGTAAGTCAGATGGGAAAAAAATAAAATATGAATTGTCCATTAACAAAGTTGGAGCTAAGACTGACAAGATCACAGTCTCATTTCCAGAACCTTGGAATAATTAATTATTCTGTTCTCATAAGACACTCCTACCAAATGACCAATGGATTTAATTTATGTTTATTTTTATCTTTTATATGTTTTTTTTTTATAATTTATGTGTATATTTGTCTTTTATATGATTTTTTTATTTGTGTGTTTAGTACAGTATAAGCTGGACATGTAGTTGAAAGATGTTTTATTTTGAAAAATGAACCAGATCCTCTTTAGGTATATTTCTTGAGCTGCGTCAGAACCAAAGCCTTTGGACAGAGGCCACAGAGAGGTGAAGAAGAAGGAGGAGGAGGAGGAGGAGGAAGAGAGGCTTCTGGCCTTCAAGTTAATAAATAAGTGAAGTTACATTCACGGACAGGTGAGTGAAATACTCTCCACATAATAATGTACTCTTAAACCTTTTTTAAAATTATTCCTTTTATAATCAGTTTTATTACATGAATCCTGTTTTTTTAACCACATGACAACTGGTCTGTAACAAAACGGTCTTCCCTCAGTGTTTCCCAAAGAGGCTGGCAGATCCTACAGTCTAGAGGCTAAGGAGCAACTGTGGTCGCAGGAAAGCAGGTGAATTTCTATTTTCACATTTTCTCTTTTATCCCCACAGTGGGGATATTACACTGGTTTGTTGTTTTATGTAATTTGTTCAACAGATATCACAGTTCTGTTGAAAGTTTTCAGTAGAATTTTGAACTGATACCTGTAAACATGTTGTAGTGTTTATCTACCAAAGGGGGCGCTGTAGAAAAAGTTTGGGAACAACTGTCCTAAATGAAATCTGACAAAAACCAAGCCAGTCAGGGTGAACTTATTTTTTTATTTCAGACTCATTTCAAGCTCTCATGTTTTTTTATATATATATATATTAAAGAAACGTCATCGAGCCTCTTTATAACATTGACAAGTCAGAAAATTTCCAATCTGACGACCTCTGATGTACAGATCACATAACTGTGGAGGATACTGTAGGATTTATGGATTAGAGCTCAGGCCAAAGGGCTCAAAGGAATGCAGAAGACTGCATTATCGCCCGAGTCTTCCACAGATCTAACCCGTGCCCCCTGAGGAGGTTTTCAAAGCCGCTGTAAATATGTATCTACTCAAAGGTGAGTTACACATCCATGTTTAATGAGCAACAGAGAAATGCACAGGCACGCACATAAATCATACTCCTCTATGCAGCATGTCTTTTCACTTCACTTCCAGGCCTTTGGTAACTGTCTTTACAAACCTTTGAACAGTAGAAAAGGCATAAATTCACATTTACAGTTTTTTTATTTGCCTCAGCTGACGTCTTCAAGGACCTTAACGCAGGCAGATGTGCTGATCTTATAAATATAAACATGGTCCATGACCTGTGGCTGATTGCAAGTAGAGAAAAAAAATGCAATTAATTAAATGTCAGCCTGATAATGAAATACAAACAGTTACACTTTTAACCCCATGGTCAAAAGGGAGTAGATTTGAATGGAATAGTTTTGTGTAATTGCCTCAGATATAAAGATGTAGATTCATCTATGTCTGTGATCACTTCGGCACTTGTTTTCAAAATGTTTTCTATAGGACCATTCGTCATACTTCGGCACTTGTAATTTTTTTTTTTTATAGGACCATTCGTCAAGACCTATTCTTAAAATAGACAGAATCTCTCTTCTGAAGATCTGGTTAAAGATGGGATGAAAGTCTGGTTTGTGGTCAGGTTTGGGTGGTTCTGGTTTTGTTGTACAAATAAAATACAACTCACTGCAAAGTAGCAGAAGCCTCCTCTCACATTAGTTTGTTAGCATGCGTGTTTGTTTTGCCTGTGCACTGAATCAAAGTGCTTTAAAGCTGCACCGTATGGCTGAATGTGACAGCTCTTGTCTCACTTAGACACAATTTGAGGAGGCAGCGGGTCTCAGCGCGACGCTTTTGCATCTTTAAGACGTGTGATGTGATCAAAACTGTCTCGATTCGACACAGAGCTCGGCATAAACACAATGATTATGGGATCAGTATTCAGGTTGATGAAAGCTGGCAGCAGGCGTTGGTGACATTAATGACAGTCTAGTGTATGTATCTCATACGGGGCTGAGGGCTGCTTTAAAGATCTTAGACACCTTACTCTGGGACTGACACCAACGTGTGTTTGTACCAAACTAACAGAGGGATCTGGTCCACATTTCCCTCAAAAGAAATTGTGCCTTACTAAAAGATAAATGTGAAACATATACACGGGGTCCTCAGTTTATGACGTCCTTGACTTACGGCATTTCGTGGTCTCCCATAGATTTAGTAAGAAATTCTTGTTCCATTATTCCAATGTACGTCATTAAAACTCGCCAACTAGTTTGCTGCGCTTCATTCACTGGCTAACTGATGAAAACATATTTAGACGTAGTAATAATAATAAGGATTATTGTTGGTCCTCAACTGGCTGTGAGAGAGGCTGGAGGCCTGGAGGAAAACCATGTGTTTTGATTTTAAAGGTGTCACTCCGGGTTCTTCTCATGAGTGGTGTCCCTGTCTGTGTCTTGAAGACCCTGCTCTTCAGAGAGCTCCTCCTGTCCTCACACCTTCCTATACTCCCCTTCCCCTTCGTCTGCACTCGTCTCCACTTCTGCAGCCTCACCCTTGGGAAGTCTCCCTTTTATAACCGGTGGTCTGCCTGATTGTTAATCCTCCTCTTCGAATAAAAGCGTCTTCTAAACTTCATGAATGCGAATTTCATGTAATTTTTTGTTGAAATAAGTCGCTCTGTGTTAGTTGTCATGTTTTGCATTAAAACATTTCTCATTTTCCTCATGTTCTGGGCGACATGAAAAATGCATGTGCAGGGAGCAGTGGGTGGATAAACAAAACACTGATAACAAGGGGAACATGGATGTTTGCTGCATGTGCTGGTTTTGTGGCGGCGTTTTTGTGGAGCGTTGACAACCCAATACGTGGCTCCTCCAATGACACGTGGCTCCTCACATCAAGTCTGTTATTAAATTTTCACACGCTGCTGACCACGCTATCATCAGCAGCAAACACCTACTGCTGTTCACCCTCGGGTTCCCAGGATTGTTTATTTATTACATTGTGTGTGTGTGTTTACAAGATGCCAGTAGAGGGAGATACAGTGAACTTATTAGCACACTAGCGTTAAAACTATTTCCATTTTCAAGGCCAAAGGTATTTTTCTGATTTATTCCCCAAACACGGTGTCAACACTATCTGCCTGCTGGTCCTGAGAGACACAAGTTATTTAATTAAGCAAAATCTGGCAGAACTTTTAAAAAGTTCCTACAGCACAGGGGTGGAAAGAATAAGAATAGACTAGAACAGATGATGTAACTGTTTAGTTGAGCAACAGTTTCTCTTTAAAAGACTAGAAAATGTTCCTGATTTCTGTCAGTGTTGCAGTTAAATGATCCTCAGACGATGTTTCTGACAGGGAGAAAGAAGACGTTCTGTTTCTCTGCACAGAAATGTGGTCATTGTTTTCCTACTGTTTTCCCTTTTTGTTGTATATAGAAGCTATTTTTCGTTATAAATCATGGGTGTCAAACTTGTGGCCCGGGGCCCACTTCCACCATCCCATGTCTGATAAGATGTTAACAATCTTTTAATTTTGTCCCCTGAGGCAGATTTGTATTTATTTTGAATTCTTCTTTTTATTTTATTTGATTATTTAAGAATGAGAAAACACATTTGCAGTAGCTGTTAATTTAGGACTTTACAAACATTTTCCTCCATTATGTTGCCTCTTTCTTTCAGCTTCTTCTTTGAGTTGAATTTAAGATTTTCTTGAGGAACAGCCGTAAAATTTGTGTCTCCATCGTGATCGTCGTCAGAGCTCGGTCTTTGGCGTCTGTTTGTGATTCCAGCAGGACAGCTACTGAACTTTGCGCCACCTGCACTCCCTACATCATCGATTTTGTTTTACTCAAGGTCTCAGGCAGATGCAGATCTTCCTCAGTGTTGTTTGCTGTCTGCCCTTATCCTGTGGCGGTTGATTTATTGAACCACAGCTTGAAAACAACTAAAGCTGCTTGCACCTCTTTAACTTACTGGTAAAGGTGTTGCAAAGAGGAATAAGCTGTTTGGTTTTGTGTTCTTTGTTGCTCATTAAAGCTTGACTTATAGGCTTTTTTTTTTTGGTTAAAGTGATGAGCGTGAGCGGTGCACCTTAGATGCTTAGACTCTGGATTCTGGTGTTGTGCAAAATACAGGGGTTTAATGAAAAGAAATGGGTCTGTGTCCTCAATGGATTCTTTCCATCCTCTAATGAACTACTCCAAGCAGAGGGACTGAATAGAGTTCCAGAAATAGATCCTTGAAATGAATAAAACTCACATGTAGTCACAAGGATCCTCTGACTCATCCGTTTATCAAATTGTCCTGGTCACCAAATACTCTCACTTCCATGATCTGCATCTGTACAAGCAGACTTTCTCATCTTGGCTCTATTTTCTAGTGTGTCCAGGTCATATTAGCGCTTTAGCACCAAATAGTTTGAATTCATAATAATAGAAATATGTTTTATCCTAAATAATATTTATTACAGTTCATTTCTCTCACACTTTCTGACGTAAGATTTTTTTTGTAAACTAAAGAAAACAAAATGCTGAACCATCTTCAAGGGTAAATGATTTTTTTTTGTAAACTAAAGAAAAAAAAATGCTGAACCATCTTCAAGGGTAAAAGATTCTTAAGATTTCTGTATTGTCTACCCACTGCCACGCTGAAGTACTGCAGGGATAAAAAAAAAAAAAAAAACGTTTCTGAAAAGGAGGTGGCCTTGCCAGCGTAGCATAGATGGGCTGAATTCTAAACACCTTGATGCACTTAGCCATTCTGTCACAATGGACACGGAGCTGTCCTTGAGAGGACGAGCGCAACACAAAATGTGAATGAAAGGTCACTAATGGTGGAGACGTGACAAGAAAAAGAGTAGAGAGCAGCTGAACAGATGTTTTCTGAACTAAATGTTTCTTTTGTGTGTGTGTGTGCTTTTATTTTATTCTCTGTGTTTTTTACAGCAGGGTTTTACACAACTATTTAAATATCTACTCAATTCAGTCTGTTCTATCTTATTTCTGTAAATTGCAGTGTTAAGACAACATTTCAGCCAGAAGTGGAGGGAGTTCATGTTGGCATGAGAACAGGCAGAGAGTGATTTTATTTTCAGTGATCTGCTGCTAATCTGTGTATTTTGTCAGACATATACTTTAAATGTGTGATTTAAACAGAAATTTAGTCAGTGCTCTGGGCAAAATTGAAATTGATGGGATGGCTGCTTTTTAATGACGCTATAAAGTACAGCGTTTACCAAAGCATAACATTTTTAGGTGAAATTTTCCAGTGTCCTGTTGGACTTTCAGTGTGTGGCTAAGTAGTTGAGTACTATGTGCAATGTTAACCATTTCCTTACAAAATAGATAGATAGATAGATAGATAGATAGATAGACAATTAACTTCATTTTTATCAATCACTAAACAATTCAAGTGACCCCATTTGAATTCCAGGGGACCCCACGTGGGATAATGACCTTAAGGTTGAAAGTCACTAAACTATACATAATGTTTCCGTTTATGTAAAGGTTATGTAAGTTACTTTTTCGCAGGTCTGTTTTTGTTTATCTCACAATTAGTGAGAGAATACAAATACAGTGTGTTCCAAATATTTTTATTAGAAAAATCAGCCCTTTTAAATGAAAAGTGAATTTGTGATTTACTTTGATTTAACCTTACATGTTTTTGCCTATTCCAAGCACTCGCGTCATTCCTACATTTTCTGTCATGTTTATGTTTTTTTTTTGCTTTACTTCGCATAATATTTCTTTAGCATCGATTAACGCCTGCAACAACAACACTCACTGGGAGGTTTTCAGGAAGGCCACTGTGCAGGAGATCACTCTAAGACGGCGGGGGAAACACACAGAAAACCACTTGTGTGTTTCTGACACTAATTTGCGTTGCATGTGTCACCTTACGGCATTTTCAGGGCTTAAAGCAGTGGTATGCTTTCGTAGCCTCGGGGCTCAATCTCATTTTACATTCAGCTGCTTTTGTAGCTGCCCATGGCTTCAGGGAGATATCCTAAGTTTTAACATTCAGTGACATTTACAGAGCAAGGAGCCAGGATGTTTGCTCTCACAGAACTCACAGATATTTACTTCTGTTTCTTTGAGGGGTATTTCAAGACAAAAGACAAATCCAAAGTCCAAAAGTTACAACTTTTTCTGCATATTTGTACTGGCAAAATATCAGGAATTTGATTGCTTTCTCTTCTGGAGTGGTGAAGCGCAATCGTATATACAATCAATTGACCATGAGAGACATCTAGTGGTTAATTATGACATCTTCATTTATGTTCTTTTATAATGTTTCACGTATACGTCATAGACTCGGGAATCAATTTCAACCCCAAAAAGGCAATGGTACATAAAATACTAAAACTAAATTTAAAAAACCCAATTTGTTTGTATGAGGTTCTAATCAATATTATTATGAATATTATAATTCTTCAAATAAAATAATTATAAAATACTCTTTTCAGAACCTTTATTCAGCTACTGTATAAGTATTTAGTTATGGTTATTGTTTTATTATGTTTTTTTCCTGTTGTCATGGGGAAACCAGTGAGGAAACCGGATAAGTTCTTGTGCGTTACCTTTGTTACATATGCCTCTAGGGAGCGCCCGTCACTATCAAGAGTCCAGTGTCCACCTCTTCACTGCCCTGAAAAAAGAGTCAAGTCAGACATCAACTTTACACGATAATGCCTTCAAAATAAAATATAGTAGTAGTTGACGTAACCTTTTGTGATTATTTTTTATGTTAATTATGAATTTGTACAGTCGTGTATTATTGTTATTGTTATTATTATTATTCTCAGTTTTTTCTGTATTTTTAAACATTTTTGCTACTTTTGGTTTACCATATCGTTCCAATGACTGGTGATTTTTGTTGTATTTGAGTTAACTTGCAGGTATTTTTCCCTATTATTCATTCATTTTTTATGTTGTGTTTTTTTACTGCAGTTGTTGGTGTAATCGCGTGTTCGCTTATCCTTAACAGGTTTCCTGGAAAGCTTTTTTTTTTTTTTTTTTTTTTTTTAATTTTAAAGCGATTTTAATTTGCAAGTCTCACCGACCGGAAGTTTACTGTAAGTCTGGCAGCTGTGTCCACCTTTCTTTCGTTTACCTCCATAGACCTCCTCTTTCCCCACCTCCTCCAACTCCTCCACCTCCCACTGGTGAACTCACCATCAGGTTTGACAGCTCAGCTTTTTTCACGGCTCACACACAGAGAACAGCAGCGGCAGCGAACGCTCAACACTGGACCCTACTTTTATTTTGTTTCCTCTTTCGGTTTTGTTGTTTTACTTTGCGTTCTAGCGTCTCCTGTTGGCTATGACGGATCCCATGTGTCCGTAGGCTTTTGGTCACTACGGTGGTTATACATACATTTTTTTCTGTATTTTTCAGTTGTTTTTTTTAAAAATATCTTTGGTCGGTAGTGGATTTACAGGGAACCATGTCGAGGAGCGCGGAGGAGGTGAACAAGCTGACAGAAAGTACTTACAAGGTGAGTGTGTACACAACAGGTGCCACACACACACACGTACACTCAAATACACACAGCCATGTGTGTCCCCACTGCAATCTCTTACACCTGTTCTACTTCACCTCCTCACCGAAAAAGACTTTTACTGTTATTTTGGTGAGTCTTTAAAATGTAGATAAACCAAATGTGGAAATAGGTCAGATCTGAATGAAATGATTAGAACTTCTGTATATTCAAAACTTGCACTTATACTTGAAACGTGTACTTTTGGGGTGTATTGTCAACGACTCATCTGTGTTACTGTGGTTTGAATACAATATCTAAAATACAGTGGCTGTCAACATATTTCAGACCCTAAACTAAGGACGCCCACCACTGTATTTAGGTATGATATTGTGTTGTTTTTTTGTTTGTTTTTTGCAGAATGTGCCATCTGTTTTGCTTTGTTTCTTTAGTCTAATTAAATCTAATTAACTAGGGATTCTCAAACCCATAGCTCTGTGGAACCTTCTGGAATGGTCCGATTAAGTAGGGAATAAACAGACAATTTGCCGTGCACCTGTTACTCATACACTGTCTGAGAACCAGCAACTGACTCTTTAAGTTTTGATTTGTAAAGAACAGCCCCACCCTGGGTGTGTGTGTCATTCCCTCATAAAAGTGTGTGTCCATCCCTTGTTGATCAGCATCATATCAACCCTCTGGCATCTGTGTCATCCTGTGACTGACTTTTATGCCTTAACTGATTGAGTTCGATAGAGGCTGTAACTGGAGAAACTAATGACAAAAACCCAGCCGACTGAGCCCCACAAGTAGAAAAAAAAAACAGATCATTTTAAATGAAAAGAAAAATGGACCAAAAGTAATTTTTCCTCTCAGGCGCCTAAAGCGTATGTTTTGAAGAGTTATTATCTTCCTCTCCTTTGGGGACAGCCCCCACAGCTCCTTGGTGTGATGAAATGCAGGGAAAAAGACTCCGGGTTTAATAATTTAGCCAGCTGAGTGTTTAGTGGGGTAAGATTATACAGCAAGCTCCTTCAGCTTGCAGGTATAATCAACAGTGGTTGGCGACGCCACACTGATGAATGTTTGCATGAGTGCGGCAGCACATGAAGTATGGGTGACGATGTATTGTCTTTGTTCACCGATGTGGGTTTCCAATTTAAAGTAGTTTGTTTAAGCACTAACAAGACACTAATGTGTAGACTCTAGCAAAATGATCATGTAAATAGCCCCAAAACCTTAGGAATTAACCACTCAATTCCTGCAGTCCAACACATACTGTACCTTCAGCTATAAGGTGTACTACGCAAGTGTCAAAACTAACAGAGATGAGTTAAGCTGTGGGAAAGGAGAGCAGTTTTTCTTAGGACAATCATGGAATCAATATCATTACTCCTCCACTGACTGACTGATGGTTGGTGGATTGATTTAACATACTGTACCAAAGTTGACTGGATAGTGCAGCCATGAGTTCAACCCTTCAACAGTTCTATCCCCAGTCCTTATGCGTGGAATGTGTTCTCTGGGGGTTTGGCTTTGCTCCTCCCACAGTCCAAGAAAATCCCATTAGGTTTATTGAACACTCTTATCTGACCATGTTTGTGAATGTGAGTGTAAATGGTTGTGTGAGAAAGACTTTCCTTCTAGTCATCCTGTCTGTTTCTACAACTTTACTGTTGTGTCTTGACGGCTGTGGTTATTTGGGGTACATGCCTTGATTTTGCCATATCAAAACTGAAGTAATGTGATAATCCTGTGTGTGAAACACCTTCAAAACGGTTCAAAGATCTTTGGAGTTCACCTGCCTTTGATACAGACCATCTGTCTAAATCAGCTCTGAGCACTTGGATTTAAACCTAGGCTTTCAATTTCTTCTCTCACAGTCATCTCTGAGGTAAACGTGATGTGGCTAAATAATAGCAGCCTAATTACAGAGATACTGTAAGGACTCAGCTAGCCTGTAAACAGGATAGTCTGTTATCTTAGGTCTCAGCCTGTTGTCCTGGCAAACATGGCAGCACAGAAGGAAAGACCGGGGCGGTGGAGATTTTCAACGTCTAAACCAGATAAACTCATTGAGGGAGTGTAAATGTTAGTGGCATTTTAATTTTATTCCACTTTTTTTTTAATATTTCAGTGCTCTCAATTCTCGATGGTTTTGAGCTGCATAATCTTTAAGGACTGATTTTGATAACATTTAACCGGCACCTTGGACCTTGACCTCTCTCTGTTTCTCAAAATTCTGAATGAAGATTTACCCACGGCTTACAGGACTTAACTGTTGTAAATGACTTGTCAGCAAAGATAAACATTAATGTTTGTGTTTCCTACACAAATGTAGTGAGTCAGAAGGTGGAGCAGGTTGGCTAGGAACCCAAGAGGTCAGGGGTTTTTCGACCTCATGCCCTGCTTCTCTCTCTTCTCTCCCGCCATCTGGGAGAGACACTTAACCCCAGATTGTTTGTGATATTTGAAAGTAGAAGAACTACAACCACACACAAGCATAATGCTGAACATTTACTTTTACATGGATTTGTGAGGGGAACAAATGTTTTTTCTTTTTTGTCCCAGAATGTGATGGAACAGTTCAACCCAGGACTGAGGAATCTGATCAATCTGGGCAAGAACTATGAGAAGTCTGTGGCAGGTGAGTTTTTTTTTCTAAGTCTTAATTTAACCCAGTATAAGCTATTACTCGTAACCCTTTCATTTCTTGCAAGTGTTTAATTGTAACACATTTATCAGATTTTACAGACGTTATTTAACATATTTAATTAGAGAAACTCTGATAACTAAAGAGACCACGTTTGATTGAATGCTTTGAGTCAAGTGTTCAGGTTAATCTCATGTTTTCAGGTGAATTTCCTAAGCTTTCTTGAGAAAAATTTATGCCAATTTTTTGTGTTCCTAGCAATGTCCATGGCAGGGAAATTGTATTTTGATGCAATGGCTAAGATTGGGGAGAATGCTGCCATATCTCCCGTCTCCAGAGAATTAGGTAAGTTTCCATGTTGTTCTTTGTGCTTTGGACACGCTGATGATTTTCCTACATTCCTCGTTTGTCTTACTCTTGATATCACGGCACATACTGTACATCGGGCGTGTTAACTATGACGAGATAACAGTTCCAATTCTTTGTTTCGCTCAGTGTTGACATCTTTAGTGGCGCCGAGCACGGCAGCTGTTAAAAACTACAATGTGACAGATTCAGTTTGGCTCCTTAGATGTTCGGAGCCAACTCCCAGAAGCGTATTTCCAGTCTAAAGAGGTCTGGCATCCTAAGTCAGCATCACCAGAGGCCCACTTTGATTTAACCACTGTATGTCCCTCAACTCCCCTGCTGATCAGGAGCAAAACTCCTAATTAAATTCAGCAGCACAAAGGGAGCAGGCACCACCTGGTGCTGTACGAGTCTCAGTTTCCTGGCACACTTAATAGTAAATTTCCACCACACATAATGAAACCTCTGGATGTTGTGTAGACTTTAATGGATGCAGTAAAAGTTTGCAATTTTGCTCCTTTGATATAAACCCTGGTTGGTCTGTCGTTGTGTAAAAGGGGAGTTTGTTATATCACAAACCCATAACTCAGCTTTTTTTTCACCATGTTTTAACTGTGATCTCTGTGTACGAGGTACAAGCAGTTGATGGACCTCTGAACATAACAATATATTGATGTATTGGTCGTCAACTGGACAAACAGTGGCTGATACATAATCCCATTGACATAAGGGCAAATAAATTGTGCAGTGTATATATAGTATATATAGTGTGTAGTGTATATAGGACCTGGCAGTAGGCAGGTGGGTCAGACAATGATGGAGTCAATTCAACTAGTTCTGTATGACATAGCACAGAACTGTGGCCTTAGGCTAAAACTGGTGCAATTTCTGGTTAAAAGGAAGCGGTTCATAATAGAACTGGTTTTCAGGAGGATTTCAGGAGGATGTTGTCACTGTCGAGAAGGATGAGAGCTTTTTGCTGAGTGTGGCCTGAAATATGCTTCCTGTAATAGGAAGTGACAAGGAAATGAGGGAGGGAGGGACACAAACAAAGAGCCGATTCTTATCAGTGTCCAGATTGGTCAGAGATGTGCATTTCACTTTTTTAGGGCTGGGCGCGGAGGGCAAATTTGACACTGTATAGAAAAAAGGGCTCTAATTAAGTGACATCCAAATGCATCGTAACTGAAAACAACAGTAACTAAACAACATGAGGTTGAGTGAAGCCGTGATGTGCAGTCTGAGTCACACTCCCTTCTGACCTGTGGAAACATTAGAACCCACACTAATCCCTGTATGGGAAAACGGGGAGGGAGAATGAGAGGGTGAGGCAGACATTGTGGTCTCATGACACGTCAGTTTGTCTGAGTCACTACAGGGATTGTGTGGAGTTGGGGGTGTCGAATAAATACACTTAACCAAAGTCATTTAATCCAACCTTGACCGCCTGGTTGGCCTACCTGAAGTATTTTACCACACACACAAACACACACACATATACTTATACTGTAAGTGCAGAATTTGTGACATTACACCTCAGGACATCAGGTCTGTTCGCTTTGCTTCAGTGCTGCTGATGGACGCTCTGATCTGCACCGTCAGAAACCCGAGCTGCAGCGATGCGTAGCTAACCAGATACTAGATACTCTTGAGAGTCAGTGGAGGACTGGTGCACCTCATCCTTCTACCTACATCCTTCAATTCCTCCAGTCTTCTTCTTCCTCTTTGCATTGTGCCAGAGTTCAAATGTCAACTGTTCTTTCATTCAGGAAGTCAGGTATCTGACTTTCATTCTTTGTTTTCAACGAGGAACAGGTAGAACTGAAGTTTCATTCATACCTTGGTGTATAGGAATATTGGAGGTTAAAAAACACATATACCGTTTAAAATATGCTGATGTGTCCTTGGGTTTAATTTTTCACCAATAGCAGACCGTGTTGGTTGTGACTTAGTTTCAAAGTTGAGTGAAAGAAGCAATGCTATAGGTATTGCTTTGAGTGAATGCGTGAGAAAGGATGAATGGAATGCAGTTCAAAAATATTTGAAGCTATTGTTACAGCCAAGAAAAGTGTTACATAAATACAAACGATTTACTATCTCTCCTTTTACACACAAACTGTTTTTTTTTTGTTTATTCTGTGAGACCTTTACTTACCCACTTACCCTTACTATTACAAATATTTGCCTAATCCTATCCCTCACTGTAACTCCCCTAAATCTTAAAGTTCATACTTTAGACTGAAGTATGAACTTTTCAACAAGACAAAATGTCCTCACTACAATAGTAATTTCTTTGCAGCTTTGCAGGAAATGTTCACATAAGCAGGACAGAATTATGTCTGGTGGATTGACATGTCACCTTCACTGTCTGCAAGAACATCTACAGTTGCATGTCGTACATTTTCAAGTTTTATTGCAGTTAACTGCAGCAGCAACAACAGCCTCTGATCTTTTTTTATCACACGTCTTTATTAACCAAATGTGCGGTGATCAGCGAATATCACCCGGCCCCACAGCTGGCACAGATTCTCCTCACAGAGTTTATCTATACTAGAGATCTCAGTTGACCTTTTGTTTCCTCTCGGACCTTCAGCTTCCTCCCAAAGTCCAAAGACATGTAGATTAGCCCCAGGTTAATGAGAGACTATAAACTGACTGTAGGTGCGATTGATTGTCAGTCTGGGTAGTTGTGGTCTGTGATGGTCTGAAGAGTGTGTACACAGAGATTCCCTCCTGATGATTACACCCTGTGACATCACTTAATTGTACACTAAAGGGTAGGTTAACACTAGATGTCCTCCATGAAATCATGGCATGACAATAATATGGTAGTAAAGAAAACTTTGTGGATTTGTAGGCTGGGAAATCTGTTTCAGACCTTACCTTCATGTGTTCATTGATAAAAAGAAAAAAAAAACACTAACAAAAGATCATCTGTTGCCACTGGGGATTGAACTCCTGATCTTCTTGCTGTAAGGCAACATCTGTTCCACTGTGTGGCCTCACATCTGTACTTATTTCTCTGGGATTGAGTTTATAGTTAAACTCCCCTGTTGAGCGTTTGTGTTTTCTCATCATCTGTTCAGCAGTGATTCCCCTTGTGTGTGAGCTACAGTAACATTAGCCATGTGAACGTTAAAGAACATCCACAGAGCAGGCTGTGTGCAGCCATCGCTTCAGATTCGTTGACACGGGTGAACAGGACCTCAGGTCACGTCGTGCTTTGTTACAGAGCGTTATCTCTGTTTGAATTTGTCCTTCCACTCCTCGCGGTGTTATGTCTGGTATTGTCCACGTCGTGACACATTTTCGCCCTCACACCTTACTGAATTGTGCACAGCTGTTGCCTGGCAACATTTTGTGCTGACTGAGTCAACAATAATAAAGAATTGTGACACAACTACAGGAAAAGTACTGCTGATAATTCTTGTCGTTCTGTGTACGACGGTTATGTGACACATTTGCAGTGACTATTTCTTAAACGGCCATGTTGCGTTCATGTCGTGACTTTTACATCTGACAAACAATCCTGTCTGTCAGGTATTTGACTCCGATCCACACCTGCTGTTGTTATTTGGATTACATGGTTGCACAGTCATCATAGAATAAAAGGACTCTCAGGTCAGAGTTAGTTTGAGAGGGAAAACACACCGAATGTTTCGACACTTTTTTTCTCTCCATGTTTCACATTATGTGTCTTTCTCCTCTTCAGTCAACGCTCTACCACTTTCAGTCTGGGTATATACCTCTGTAATGTCTTTCTTTCCTCCCTTTCTCCTCCCTCTTTTGTTCCAGCCTTTAACTCCCTCTTCCTCCTGTTTGCTTTTGTTTTCTCCTGCCCTCAGAAAGGCCAGATTTACTGAGCTTTTATCTGTTTGAACTGTACTGACTGAAAGAGCTTCGGTGCCACAGGGCTAGGTGGAGCAGGTCCAGTCAAGGTGGAGCACCTGTGGGAAGGGCAGTGTATATTTACAGATAAATGCACATTTCATGGTGGTGCATCAGAGTGTTCAGTGTTCTGAGAGAAGTTCTGAAACAATAATGCATCTTATTCAGAACTGTCGATGTTTAACCAGGGGTGAGATGAAGTTTAGTAAATAGTTCAGTTGCATTCCTTTACTGGGTAAACTTGTGACTCAGTGATTAATTATACTGTACATAGTGTACACCTGTTACCAATGCAAACACAACTGTTGCCTCCTTTCTTTCTTTCTTTTTTCCTGTTTTTAATGTAATTTGCTGCAGAGTTGAGTGTGGAGCGTGAGTTTCTGAAACAAGGTTGCTAAATCTATTAAAAAAATGTTTTCAAAAACCCAAGGTTACATCAGCTGTACGCAGTGCATAATGAAAAAGACCTTGTTTCATAACATTCCTTCTCCTACCAGAAAAATAACTCTTTGGGGAAAAGATTGTTACAAGGAAAAGTCGTAGTGTGAAGTCTCAAGTTCACCGGCTGACAAATTCCATCCTGTGCTTTGTCTCTCAGATGACACGTGATGTAGTGGCAGATATTAATTTTTAAAGTATACTCCTGTGTACTGTATGCAAGAGAAGATCCTGACTCACTCGTGCAGTACTGGAAGGAATACAGATACAGATAGTCATGATGGAACTACAGTACACCACAGCTGTTGTTGTTGTTGATTCTCTCCTGCCTTGGCCAATAATTCTCCATCTGCAAAGACCAAATACCTTGTGATCAAAAAAACAAACACAAATTTCTCCTCTTTTGTCCAATAGTCAGGTTTGTCAAAAAGAATAACAAAGCCGCTGACACACAAACAGAGATATAAACCTTTTCAGTCTGGAAATCCCGTGGTACAGACCACAAACAACAACTGTGAGACAGATCGTGGTCCATATTATACTTAAAGCCATGACACTGATGTTTTGTTGCCCCTATATTAGATCATCGGCCTCTCTCTATCCCTTGTAGATTCTACTGCCTCACCGACCATCTCCATGTCCTCGTGTCATCTCTCTCTCAGCACACATCCAAACCATCTCAACCTTTGTTGCCAAACTGTAATCCAAGCATTTCTAAACCCATCCGTCTTAGGCTTCCACAAAAAAAAGTCAGCATTGTTAACTCTGCCACTTTTAGACATCATCACTGTCATAGCAGAGCTCACCACCAACTAGTCCATCTTTATTTATTACTTTATCCTGTCACATGGTATTTCTGAGAGGAGTGTTTTCGATTGATTGACGCCAGATATTATTCACCCTAACTACCGGACTTGATGGCATTTCTCTGTCAAATACAGTCTAGTACAGTGTTGTTAGTGTTATTTTAACATTATTTTAAAATTTGTTTTTCTAGGGCTGTTTAACTGCAACCAGCCTAAAAACTGGACTCTGACTTTAGACACAGCAAACATAGTTACTGCAGTGTGCTACATGTCATTCACAGTTTTTTACAGACGGTTCTTTTTATAATCCTGAAGTGTTATCCAAAGAACCCTGAATCCATATGTGATTACATTGTTTTAGACAACCAAGGCTGTAGTGTTCTGCAGTATACAGGTGATTTGGACATTCACTAACAATTTTCCACCCATTGACTGTACACCATAATTGTAATTTGATTGCTTTGTGAGCAACATGCCATAACGGGAATATATAATTTGTGGCTGCCTTCCCTTCTCTGCTCTTTTGATAAGCCGAACACCAGGTTTCCAGTTTTTCTGGTCCAGGCGCACTAAATGTTTTCTTTTTCTTTTTTTATCTTGTCAAAGGAAGGAAATCCCTTGTAACACAATCTTTAGCCAGGTCGACGACCTTTGGAACCAAGTAGAACTTGAGAGTAGAAGTGCACTTTTTTTTTTTTAGCAAACACAGTTTCAATGAAAAGGGCAACAATAATTTTTCATCAAATATTTCATCACATGCTAACCAGTGTTATTTATACAATCTTTACTTTATTTTTCTTTTCTGTCCTGCAGGTGTGGTGCTGATGGATATCTCCGAGGTCCACAGGAAGGTTCATTTAGAAATGGAAGAAAATGTGAGTGTTGGATTTGATGTGTGCTGCCAGTGTAACATAATTGCTCTGTAATTGTGCCATCTCGCCCAAATGCACTTTGTCTGACATTCTCAATCTCCAAACCTGCTGCTTAAGCCTGTGTTCACTGAACACCATTTAGTTGTCCACAGCATCTCACTCTCTCTGCGTTTCTCCTTTCCCTCCTCCTCTTCTACTGCATCCCCCACTTACATCAACTGCAGTAGCATAATGGACTAGCAAAACAAAGTGCTTGTGAGCGGAAGGTACACAACAGGTTTGGGTTGTTGAAACACATGTTGCCTTTTCCCTTGCTGAGAACAGAGTGGCAGGTCTGAACATGTCCTGAGAAAACACCAGCTGTAGCTAACGAACAGAAATAGTACGATAATGCAACAGTGCAGCTGTATTAAATAATAATAATAGTTAACAAATGTATTTATGTAATTATATAAATAAGGCAACATAAGAAGGGAAAAGAAAGGCGGATGTTCGCAGGGATTTTTTTATAACAAATACTTAGTGGTTGTGCTTTTGCATAACCAAATCTATCATTTGCTTATGAACTTTAACCTTTTAGCAGACAAAATAATAAAAACATTTTCTCTCCTTTTCCTGTTCAAGGAGACATCCAGTCAAATGTTTTCTTGATGACGTATTTTCTAAACTCTAAATTTTAGTCAAAAAGTTTTAAAACAGAATAAAAGATTTGAAAAGATGTTTCATTAGTTTACCAAGTTATTTCATTCTGTATCCTTTATTTAGGTTTAAATTATTTATTTGAGTGTTTCCATTCAAGAATATAATCTTTGCCCAATTCTGTAATGTCTTTTACACCAGGAAACAACATGATCAAATGGAATACAGTTCCAATATTAGTCAATATTGGTGGAGATGCCATATCATAACATCCCTCTTAGAACATGTTGACCTTCCCTCATATGCACAGATCTCCCTGCGGCTGTAATTGACACTAACAAATGGACAAAGTAAAATATAGATATACACGTTTTAGTGTCTCTGCATTGTTGAGTAGTGAACCGACTTCTTTGGATATTAAGTTGTTTATGTTGTGCTTTAGAGAACAAATAATTGCTGAGTTTGAACATAAACCATTAAAGATAATCTCCCAAGGTGCTCCTTTGAGACTGTGTTGATCACTGCAGCAGTGGGTGGACCGATACTCTAACAGACTGCAGTTGGTGAGTCAGAGCATTAATACAGATCAAAGAAAATGATGGTAGGAAAAAAAAAAATCTTTGTCCACTTTGAGGGTGTGTTTTCTGCAGAGCTGAGGTCTGCGTGGTCACAGATGCAGGCTGGGTAAAAGGGTCTCTATATGCACTGATTAGTCCTTTTGTTTGTGTCGACACTAGATGCTAACGATGCCGCAGTGGAGAAGTATTTAACACCCTCACAATAATGAGAGAATGATGGAAAAAGGCAGAGAAGTTTGTGGGTATTCCCACGCTTTGTTTCTGACTCATTCATAAATGCAACCTTGGACATGGCTCTCACCCCCGCACACATCTATATGATCGCTTTTCAATTCTCCAAACGAAGCCTACTGTATGTGAGTGCTGCTGACAAACAGCAGCAGTGAATCTGACCGTCGATGTTCTAATCAGTTTCTCTTCTCTGTCTTCTCCTCCTCTGTCCATCTCCTCCTCACCTGAAGTTTAAAAGGTTCCACAGGGAGATAATATCTGAGCTGGAGAGGAAGACTGACATGGATGTCAAATACATGACAGTGAGTCCTTTGTGTCTGTCTGTGTGTGTGTGCATGGGAATGCACTTGTTTCTAAGAGTATGACATATTGGCTCCAACAAACAACCCTGTAAACAAAACCCTTTATGTAAATCATGTGATATTATAAGCATGTGTGCAAATAAGAGAGAATGGCATGCAGTGTCACTAAAGGCTTAATTCACACCCATCACAACAGGATCACAGTCTAATAATGGGCACTAATCCAGGGCTGCAGTCATTTCTATTAATTTTTCCCCTCTCTAATGGGAGTTAGTGCTGCAACACTTTACAAGAAAAATACGATTATAAATCATAGCTGCTTCACCAGCTGAGCAGCTCGGATTCAGTAAAATAAGGAGGCGTACTGTATTCCTAGTAGCAGTGGTACTATCCACAGTCCAGTCTGCATTCCAGTGTGTCCTTGGGCAAGACGTATTAAAGAGGACCAGCAAACTGTCCTTCTTTTAGCTAAACTCTAGGCTTAAAATCTGCAACATAAACTGTTTCCTTAACAGTTGTCATGATGATTCTGGAACAGCATCGTCACAGTGCCTCCATTATTCAGATGATAATGTCCTGCAACAGGTTCTCCTGGAGCTGCAGGCTGTACATGGTGCTAGACTTAAAAATCTCCTCCCATTGTTCAGCTCTTTCCAAGTCTGGAGTTCTGATTGACAGGCCCTCATTAGAAGTACTTTCATGGCGTCCCAGGTTGACTGCTAAATGTCAAATTGTTTTTTGGTCTAGATTTCAGAAGCATGTTTGTTGTGAAAATAATGGTTTAATATTCTTTCCGCATCGTTTTGCGTGTGACAAGGAGGATTTGAACAACGCTGTCCATGTCGTACCAAATGTTCTATTTCTTTTCAAGCAAAAGACAGTACTATGTCACCATTAACAAAAGTGCTTGTTTAGAAAACAGCAGGATTTTTCATTTTACTCCAAGTTGTTCTCAACAGCTGTGCTGGCGGTGCTGGAATGACTGAGAGGTGCGTTAATGAAGAAGCACTGCAAATAGTACTGCTGCACGAGCACTTTAAGTAGTCATGAAAATGAGAACAGCTCTATAAAAACAGACTGTTGTTGTTGTAGTAAAAGTACTGTTAGGTCATCTACATAAAAAGATACATGTGTACTGGGGTGTACTGGTTGTACATTGCATTATATACTGTATTTATTTGTTTTATTTCTCACTAAATTAACTGTATTTTTGTTTGTTTTTTTAATTATAAACTCCCCCATAAGTGTAAAATCACCAAAGAAATTGAATGTATTTATTTTAACTAACACTTTTTTTATGCACCTTTTTCTCTGCTTCAGGCCACATTCAAAAGGTATCAAATGGAGCACAAGATGAAGCAGGAATCTCTGGAGAAGTCCCAGTCAGACCTGAAGAAGCTGAGGAGGAAGAGTCAGGGCAAGAACGCCAACAAGTACGAGAACAGGGAAAGTGAGGTGAGATGGTCACACACGGCACTGAAAGAATGGACACACACACACACACACACCTGCAGCAGGGGTCACATACTGTATATGCACACAGACATACACTGACACCTGAGAGTGTCAGTGTAACAGTAGTTGGGAACAGTGTCTGTGGATCTTGTTTGTCGTTGCCTCCATGCTCCTCGAAAACACCCTCATACAGTCTGTTCCTGTTTCCTACTTTGCTCCGCCCACACGCACACCACCACACTACCACGCATGTGAGTAACCAAACACACTGTCAGGAATTTTAAAATTAGACAGAGTTAGTTCCAATTAACCATTTGCATAGACAGACACGACTTAATTGGGTTTTTTTTTAAGCAGCCATCGCTATTTAGTTGTCATTTGTATAAATTTCTTTATTATATATTTATATCTTATATGTATTTATTGTCATTAAGGAATTGTGTTTTAAATGGGCTACACTGGCTCAGTGGTAGGAGTTCTGCCTGCCCTGTAGCAGGGTTACCGTTTGATATTTCAAATTTTTAAGACATCTGCTGCCGTGGAGACCCCTACTGATGTTTCTTCTTAGTTTTATACCCTAATACTATTATTGTTTTGTTAAGCCTTGCAGTTTTGCAAAAAACACAGTGAAGAAACATGACACATACAGAAACAGAATACAGACATGAGGTTTTTCCCATCGCAGAGTATATTATAACGGACAGCCTTTAATCAAGTGACATAAATGTTTGTTTTGTCTTCTTATTTCAAGCACCGTCCTGTCACTGTAATCAAAGTCCTGTCATTTTAAATCATAAATACAGGTCCCATTGTCCTTTTCCATGTGGTTTAGCCTTATTCAGCTCTATTTTTGTGTTGAGTGTTACATCACCTGACCCATTGTGAATTGCCACAATAAGGTTGCACCACGCCCTGACAGTGACTCTGCACAAAGAACATTACGTTGACGAGTTGATCACTACGCTGCGACCCGGGTAACGCGACAGCCTCGGGTCTTGTATAACAGCGTCATTGATCCAGTCAGAGTGCTGTTGTGTGTTTTAAGTGTCCAAGGGTTTGTGTATTCTGTCACTGAGGTCAACTTTAACCTGGCCTGGCACTGGTAACAGCTAGTAACATTTATGTCAACAGGTGTGTACCTTGTTTCTATTCCCCACACATGGTGGTTTTCATTTGATTTAATTTGAATACCAAATCAATGAAATACAGATATTTTTTGTTTGGCTTTATCTGCCTTTCATGAATTTGTTTCAATTTCAGGGCAACAATTTGTTTTCCTGACTTTTGCACTCCCATCAGCAACTTCTAACTATTAGTCATAGTCTTTCTAATAATTCTGCTATCATTTAGCACTTTACTGTAAACACTTCCTGGCTAAGCTTTACCTGTTTGTTGCCATCACCCTCTGCTCTTTTGGCTGACAGTTAAATGGTAGTTTTCTGCAGATCTGCTGTACTTGGTATTGTCTCTAGAATTTAAATAACATTTGACATACTAGTCTTTCATACAAGAAGATGCTTTGCCTACCTTTGATATATGTCGTTGTTGCTATGTACTCAGTGTTCTTGGAATATCTGATTTTCAAGGATCAGAAAAGGGAAATAACAAGGTTTGTGTAAATACCACAGTTACAACAAGAGGATGATTTCTTCTCCCCCGATTCGTTCTATCTTTTTTTCCTTTTGTCCTCTTCACATTGTGTCCTTATTTCACTTTCCTACTTTCTCAATACTTTTAGCTTAGAGTCTTGAACCATGAGTATTTGCCTACTGCTGAGCTTTCTTATCTGATGCAAGACTGGGTATTAGGATGTTGATATCTGGCAGACACAGATATGGGCAAGCAAACAGACAGACGGCGTGTCAGGGCTCAGAGGCAGGAGCTTACAACAGCTGTGGATTTGCCAGACACCAAAGAGACATCACATCCAAGGAAGTGTCTGTCAGAGAAGTAGAGACAATATTTAGAGGAAAAAATGGGGGGAAAAGTGGCAGAACTGCCACATGTGTCAGGAGAATGATTAAAAGACACTTCAGAAAAGATTAACAAAACAGTATCACATGTCAAGAAGGACTCAGGAATGTCTTTCTCTCTGACCTGTGGTTCTTGCGTCAGTGTGTTATTAATAGCAACAGGGCTGCTGTGGTAGTGGCAGACGAAAAGTGACGAAAAGTGCACGTCTCCATTCTGTCAGAGGCTACATCAGGGGACACATGTCAAAGTATAGACAGGTTAACTGGAAAGGGCTTGTCATAGTCAGCATGCAGATGTGAGACACCTGTGGTAATGACAGAGTACTGCCGGCTGTTGTTTGGCCCAGAAAAATAGATGTTAGTTTAATATAAATATAAGTAAAATCTCCTAAATATCTAATTTTAGAATGTCTTTTCTAACAAATATAAAGTGCTCTTGCTCTTGCGTTAAGCTGTTTGTGGCAGACTGATCAGCAACCATGGCCTCCAACTAAGTTCAGTCATACCGTGCAAAATTACTGTTATGATTTACTTAATGTTTTTGTATTTTAAAAGATATATATACATGTATTTATTTTTTACATATTTTTGTTTATTTAAATCTATATTTCCAATGTTTAGCAATATCTGTGTAACCTTGTAAGGTTCACTTAAGCTCACTTTTAAGATACAGTATGGCTCATCTGGCCATCACTTTTTTAAATTTTTATGCTTTACAAGTCTCAACATGGGTTAAATTTATGTTTTCCCCTGATGTTGGTGAAACAGTGAGTTTCCTGTTTAGGGACTATCTGGCATCGTCCAGACAGAAGGCTGTGTTTGAATAAGGATGATGTCACTGTGCTGTAAACTGCTGCTAAAATACACACACACGTCACATATTGGGATTATGTTTTATACTCTTCTTCCTTGAGGGAAGTTTAATTTAGCCCCTATAAGATTACACAGACTGTAATATTACTGTAGATTCCTGGTTTTTGACTAAAAAGAAAACCAGCCATTCAAGTATTTATCGGATCAGTAAGGAGCTGAATAGAGGGTGTGTTTGTGCTATTGTATTTCTATCTGCTCACAGGTGCGCAGTTTCCAGTGAGTTGGATGAAAATAACAGTATGAATATCTTTGGAAAATTGTCAGTGCCAGAATAGAAACTTATTCATTCAGGTCAGGTGTCCGTTATCTTCAACATCAAAATAGCCTTTTCTATCCTTTTACCAGTGAATAACCATGTAGATCTTAAAACAAAAAAAAAAGTGTGACCAGATCGCCCCTGATCCTGATGATTGTTACCCGAATTCTTCGACCACTGAAACCTTTAGATAATTTTTATGACTACAAGAAAGGTTTTTAAAGCATTGTTTAAAGCAATGACAGATCTGACACACCAAGATATTACAAACAAATATGAATGACTATAAATATATAGCACTTAACTAAAGGTGAATTATTTCAACACAATTTAAAGATTGAATACACTCATTTATTTAGGATTGTTTTTTTTTATTATTATTCTACTTCTTGGCTGCCCCTGTAGATAAGACTGAACCAACTCGTTGTTGCTGCTGAGCCGTGCCCCTTGTCTGATCTGTCCATACAATAAACTCTAGTGCAACAATACCTGTTCTGCAGCACTGAGATTAGGGATACTTAGAAAGGAAAATGGCCCTTTTCATGTCAGTTGTCTTCACAGCAGTGAGTGATGTCTGCTCACCATGTGTCTCACCAGATAAGACAAGGTGCAGATCTACTATTAATGGTAGCTCGAAAACATTTAGTCTTTTTATAGAAAAAAACACAATTCTGTATTTTATTGAATTTGTTTATTTTTTTTTTATTATTTTAATTTTAAATTAGCCCTGTGTAGTCTCAGTAATTTCAATTATTTGCCAGGAATGATAAAAATGTAATTTTATCTTCTTCCTCAGTGCCTGGAAACATTGACGAATCGTCAGATGGACATAAATTTGTTCATCGCAGACGGCTGCAAAGAGGCTCTGCTGGAGGAGAAGAGACGCTTCTGTTTCCTGGTGGACAAACACTGTATGTTCTCCTACCAGTTCGCCTCCTTCCACGATAAGGTACTAGTCTTAAATCTGTCCTAAATGACAGATTTGCTCCTTTTTAAATCAGTACTTATGAACTATGATAGAGTAGGTTTTTACTACCTGTAAAAACTCAAATTAGTCATTCACAGAGCTCCTGTTCTTTTATTTAAATAAAGAAGTTAAAAAAAAAAATTAAATAAAATCTGACTCCTGGGCAGTCGACTAAAAAGCTGACCCTGATGGTAGAAAGGTAAACATTTATGTATATACATAGTTTTAAGCAGTTTTGTTTAATATGTGCAGTCCATAACGCAGCAGTTTCTATGGCTGTATTGCACTGTAATGTAGGATTTAATGAAAAAATGTGTCTGCTGACATTTTGTCTCCTGACATTCCAAACCATAGAAAATCCAAACACCAACAGAAAAATATATCTACCGAAAACCCACGATGCATTGTGTTGCCATAGTGACAAAAACATGTAGTGCATGGGTTTTAACTGATTACTCATTGTTCTTATTTTAACTTTGTTCAACTTGTGATCATGCCTGCTGGACAGGCCAGAGACATACTGTCTGAGAAGCTGAGCAGCTGGCAGGACCAGTGCAACGATGCCACCAACATGCCTGAGACCATCCTGTCCATGATCGAGGGATTGCGGGCACCAGTCACCATCACACCTCTGCCCTCTCCCACACCATCACAACGCAGCTTGGTAGGATGGTAGAAATAGATGTAAAAGTAGAGATGAAGCCACACGTTTTCTTATCTAATTATTTAATATAGTGAGAATTATGTATAAAATTCATAATCATATCTGTCTCTCTGAAAAAAGTCATACTATATTAGACTTACGTATACTTATAAGGAGCTGTCATGTGATTGTTATTACGTGATGCGGAACTCTAGTGATGTGATTGATGTTCCTGTGACAGAACATAAGTGCTCCAGTGGCTCCACCTGTCAAACCTCAGACCAGCCCTCTGGCCAACATGTTCAACCATGAGAACAGAACTACGATTGTAAACACCACTGCCAACAGAAGCACAGGTATTATAATGGCATTTTAATTATGACTTGTGATGTTCCTTTGAACTAGGGCTGTTTTTTTTTAACTAAGTGTAGTAAAGCAACCATCTGGTCCTTCCTCAAGGGACAAGCCTTTATGTCACCCAGAACAATTGAACCTCCACTGACTGTGTTGTGTTCTCTTGTTGAGATAACGCTGTGGCTTTAAGTTAATGTTATGTTGCTGATGTAGATAATACAATCAGTGAGGAAAGTGGTCTCGGCCGGTCAGTGTCAGTGGCGACTGGCCTCAACAACATATCCTCAAAAAGGCCACGTGTTCGAACCATCTTCCCTCACACTGCCGGCAACAACAACACCCTCCTCAGCTTTGACGAGGGCGACATCATCATCCTGCTCATTCCTGAGGAGAAAGACGGGTGGATGTACGGTGAACTGGAGAAGAGCGGAAAGTGAGTCAAATTACAGATGTCACATACAAATGCTTAAATGTTCTTGGTAAAATTCTAATGACCTCAATAATAATTCAAAGGTGTTCCTACAGATTGTTTTGCTTCAATCTTTTGGTTAGCTTGAAAACATCTAAGTGTTAATTCAACTGATAAAGCTGTTGTCAATCTTGCGTCAAAGTGTTAATTCAACTGATAAAGCTGTTTAAAGTGAACGTAGCTGCCACTGATGTTTTGTTGATGCTGACCTTTTACACCTCCACTGATCACAGATGTCTGGGCTCTGTGAGTCATGCCTGACTTTTAAACGTATTTACAAGGAAATCAGACTAAAGTAAGGCTCCAGGGCTGGATTTATGATAGAAGAGAGTAAGAAAAGTTCAGCGTACCACCTGCTCTGACACACAGCCAGGCACCGACCAAGCCTGGTCTCCCCGAGTCTCTGATGTCTGACTTTTTAAACAGGGCCCGGATCTGAAGCTCTTTGAAGTTTGTTTTTTGAATTTCAAACATTCATCAGGTTTGATCTTCGACATGATCAAGGGAAATTACCTGATGAATTTATATTAAGAAAATATGATCAAGGCCCAAAGGAAAAAAAATCATTTCTGGGTTCCTTTCTAAAATGTGGTTTCCATATATATTTAATCTTTTGGTCTGATTGACACAGTGCTGGAGGCTGTGTGTGAGCTCAAGTATGTATAAGACTAAAAGTGTCCATCATTATGTCTGACAGCAGTTAAAACCATTTAAAGAGGCCTGTCTGGATGAGTGGAGGTCTCTCGCTGGGTTCCTTTCTTTGTCTTACAGTGCTTTTGATTGTGTTTCCTGGTAATTTGCCTGGCAACCGCTAGGCTGATTCAGATTCAGATACCCACACACACAGTGTGAGGGGAACAGGAATGAACGTCAGATCTTTTTGGTTCAATGTGCAATCCATAGCTGCTGTCACTAATAGAAACACCATAATTCCTTTAGTGTTTGGGTTTGTGAGTGCCCCCCCCCCCACCCCCAGTGAAACACTGAGTGTTGAAGGAAAAGGTAAACTGTAAATGCAATCATCCATAATTTGTCTTATTGTCCCTGTTTTACAGGAGGGGCTGGTTCCCTTCATCTTACTGCCTCGCACTCACCGAGCCACTCATGAATAACAACAGGTAAGGAGACTCCACATTACAGCTAACACACACACACACACACACACACATATCAGTTGGTTTTACGTTACACCCGGCTGTATTGTTGGGAGAACTTCCTCTGGTTACCCCTGTTGACCTCTCTGTTCCTGTTCCACAACCTTTGACTCTTGCTCTGCCAACATTTCTAGCACTTTACATTTTCCCCCAATAATCAGAAAATAATCAGTACATTTCATATATTTAATAATAAAAATAATTTAATTTTTCACGAGCCAACGCTCGTTTTGAGAATAACAGAGCATTTTGGTGTGCACCAAACTCGTCGAACTCGTGTGTAGGTGTGAAGCGTTGTTAATAAGGTCAGACTTGTTGTACTAGTCACTCAAAACAAAATTCATTTGGTTGTTACAACAGAACGTATGGTATTCAAAGTTTGCCCAGATCTCCTGCCGCCCCCACACTTCATGAATACAAAGACAATGACATCAGGAGAGACAAAGGTCTCTGAGACCCCCTGTAGGAGGCTGCAGGTGGAGGCCTGGGTGGGGATGAATCACCAGGTAGCAGCCCTGAAGCATGGCAGCAGAGGCAGCGACTACACAGGGAGACGTAGTTAGTCTGACAGTTTAAATAGAACAACAACAGAGGCAGGTGTTTATGGCATTGGGGTAACAGGTCACATGACATTGCAGTCGGTTCAAGTTTAATAATATAGTTTACCTTCACAGAGACGGTGTCAATGGACCAAAATAACCTGACACGCCGATTAGAAAGGAAAGCTTTATCATTTGGCTTCTGGTTATTTTTTTTCTTGTCCGTTTATTTAACCAGTTGATTTCTAATCATTTATAATATGATTCTCTGATCTTATCCTATGGTTGTTTACATTTATTAGTTGGCCCTGTCTTTGTTGACTTAATTATTATTGAGTATGTAGTACTTTGTGTACGTTGTTTACAGTAACTCATCATATGAACTTCTGATCATTAATTTGAACTTGACTACTTAAACATTTTGAGTTGAACTTTTTCTTTCTCAATTTGTGGATAAATCTCAGCTCTTGCACGTTGCATGTTTGATAATAATGACATTAAATGTTATCCTCTTCTGTTCTATGCTGTTCTGTTAATTTCCCTAAGGAATACAATGTTGGACAGAAAAAAATGGTAGAATTATAATTTTGTAAAGAACCTTTAATTTACCCATTTGGTAAAAAGAAAAATTGATTTTTGGGATTTAATTTATTTTACCCTTGACATTTCACAAAGGTCCAGGATGTTGTTTCCTGTTGAGAAGATCCCCCTGCTGCTGAGAGAGCACGGCGACTGCAGGCTTTTCTTCAGAGAGATTAATCCCATTAGGATTAGTTTATTAGATGTTAATGTGCTAACCCTCCCACAGAGATGCTAACTGCTGCCAGTCATGGAAACACAAAGTTCAAACACTAACTGCTGCCAGGGAAACACTTTACTAATGTAACACATTCTAGTCAAAGAAAAAGTCTTCAAGTTTCCTCAGTAAGTCGCAGATGTTGCGTAAAAACATAATGTTTCTGTTGCATCAGAAACACTCTCGTAGGATATATGTGTGTATCTCTGTATACTGAAGCTTCCCTCCTCTTTATCCCTCCTCCCTGCAGTGTGTCCGCCGCACCCTACCGCAGCAGAAGTGTGGTCAACCTGCACCATCAGGACACGGAGACAGACGAGGCCACCATGGTGCTCCCCCCGGCCGACTACTGCGACCCCATGCGGCGTGGCAGCACCACCAACAAGAACAGCACCTTAACCAGCAGCACAGTCACCACAAATAACCACCACCACCACTCTCCCACACCCTCTGCAGCCTCCTCCTCTTCATCCGACCACAACACAGTGAGTCATCTTGTAAAAACCTTGTAGTTGAGAACTTGAATCATGTCTGAACAAATGTTCTCACTGTTGACTGCTGGTTAGTTTCACCGTGCCCAGACCCAGTCTAGGTTGAGGTAATGTCTCACCAGATACCATCTGTATCCTGACCACTGCACCCTCAGCTGTGAAGCCTTATCTAATCACTGTTGGCTGTACATGTGGGCTCACAGTAACTTGTCACATGCAGGTGTGTGTGTTGTCACATGAGACATTTTTATGTCTGCACTGGAAAGCAGACCTCACTTTCATGTCCATAAAATGGACCTATTGCATGTTCAATTTTTTTTTTATTTTAAATTTAAAATTGAGTGTGACAAACATCACGTAGTTACGTTGCTTCACTTTGTTCCAAATAACTCTTTTTTAGGAACTAAATTTGGGAATTTTAGCATTGCATTCAGACAGTCTTTAAGAACTCTAGATAAAGTGGACAAATAAAGGATAGAATCTGAGTTGGAGGATTGGAGGGGAATCTAATGTTTCATATCTAAGAGAGTCCTTTGAGATAGTGTTAAAATAGTCAGAATAAAGCACAAGTTGAGGAAAGTAATAAATTATCCACCAGCTGTTAATCAAAGACTTGTCAAAAATAGTGTCAATGGGAGAGTTGTAGCATCAGATGAAAAATACATCAATAGCTTCATGGAACCCAGAGTGAAACACAGAGGAAGCTGTGTAACATTTAGGCCCTGCTTTAATGCCTGTGCAGAAAAAAAGGACTAGAAAAATACAGCTCCAGGTGGAATGTTTTAAATTATATAAGATTAGCCTGCGGTGGACAGATCAGCTTTACTGTCCAACTACAGTAGTACTTGTTGATGAGGCCATTGACTCACATCAGAGCTGAAAGCCCTAAGATGTTTGGAGAAAAAGGCTGGGAATAGAAAGCACATGGAGGAGGAAGAGTTGGCAACAAAACAACCAGTGCAACATGTTGTGGTAGAGGAGGAAAGCCAAAGAATGCTTCCTCCTCCAAGACTGGCTGGACTGTGAGCACAAGCTGCACCAGATCTCTCAAACAAGGCTTTAATTAGTATTAAAATAAAAAAGCACAAGCAGTTAACTGATGTTACAGTAGTTATAACCAGTGAAAGACGACACCAAATATTTTGAATCAATACTATATCGATGACTTTTGTTGATACCGATACTTAGTGTAATATTTTTTACCTCAGTAATACACATGTCAAATACTGTCCATTTATTAACTTTAATATGTATTTTCATAACAAATAACATTACTTTATTTTGACGCAATGTAGCCTAAATAGTTTAATTACTACCATTGGAGAAAATCATAATATTTTTCATATCATTTGATCAACTTCAGTCCTGAACATAAAGGTTCAAATTCTGATATCAATCAAAAATCTAGTGTGGTGAGTGACTCAGTTAATAATTGTGTAAGGGTTTACTGTTACCAAATATTGCAATATTTTATTTCACAATTCCGTAACTATTTTTGTATTAACAATTAACAGGCAAACTTTTTTGGTACGTCAACTTTTG